AATCATTGATTCATCTATCTATTCAGAATAATAAATTTTGTTTGACATTCTTTATGATAAAAACATTACTTTTAAAAATTGCTAAAGAAAATGCTAAGCTGGAAAAAAAGTAATTAAACAACCAAAAAAAAACAAATCGCGAAAAGATTTTTTTAAAGAAAAAACTAATCGCGGAAGTGTGAAAAGCAAACACGATACGCTTAATACGAGCTCTGTAAGACTTTTTTTCTAAATATTACTTAATAACTTTTTTTAACGACGTCTTTCAACCAAATTCTATTATACTGTTTTTGCAAAACTAATTAAAAAAACTTGATGAAAACTTAACTATTTAATCACAACTTTTTTTTACTTGAAAATCAAAATAGATATTCTAAAGTTGTTGTGACGTACTAACATGATTTTTAACGACTAACAATCAAGTTTCAATGGTAAAAAAATAAAATCAAACTGGAGTTGTTTTTCAGTGATTTCAGCAATTGCTTTTTGTTAGCATGCACTTATTAATACAATTTAGTGAAAAAGAAAAAAAACTTACATATTTTTTTTTTATGCTCTTTCATATGAGATCATATGTTAGGAGCACTTAGGGATCCCTTTAATACGTCCTTTATGATTTAGCTAAAATAATTTCTAACTTCATATACTCAATTAGCAGTGTTACTCCTCAAAAGTATTCTTGATTTAAAATTATTGTATTATATTAGTAACATTAGTAAAGTTGGATATTTTGGTACTGCGCAATATAGAACACAGGATATTTAACTATATTGTTCAGTTTTGTAGTGCAGTCATGAGTTCTAACCATTTTACAAATTGTTAAGTGTTTTAAGGTATAATAAATTAATGGTTGCAATTTATCAGTTTGTAAATGCGCAGTTTTTTAGATATAGCTGTTTTAAATTTTAAATTTTTAATCTAATTGTGTTTTTGGATTCCTTTACGTAATTTTAATTTCTAGTCACTTTAATGTATGTGTATTTTACAGAAGACAATAAACAAAGACATAAACTTTAAAATTTCATAAAAATTATATTTTATAAAATACATATCAACAATGATTTTGAGTTCCATAATCAAAATGTCAGCAAAGTGCCAAACTTTGTACCGTCTTGTTACTTTAAGTGAAATCATTGGTTTAAATAAAAAAAAAAACTAATGCATATCAATGTATATATAAAGAGCCAACTTTCAATAGAATGAAAAGTGTTGCGAAAATTTCTGTTTATTTCGTTGGAAAGTTGAATGAAAAAATTGTTTTATAATCATTAACATCAAATACACAATTACGCTTGCAAGAAGCACTGATACTATAAGTATATGTCCGTTCCTACAATCAATACTTGTTTCAGAAGACAATGTGAAGCTATCTATTAGATGAATTTTGAAAGCTCCACGAAATTCAAGTGACATTTTTGTTGGTGCTATAATACTTAAATGTAGTTAATAGGAGTTATACTAATAAAGTGTGACTACAAAATAAAAACATATTATTGTTTGTGTAATAGATAGATTTTTCATACCTTTAATAACAATCAAGTGGTTGATCAATAACTAAGTTTTTAATAATTACACAAAAATTTTTTTTTAAAGAATAGGGTAGAAAAAAGAATGATCATATCTTCAACATTTACTAAGCACACAAAACACAACATAGTATGTTGTGTGTGTGTATGTGTGTGTTAATAGAAGCTTTTAATCCAAGTTATAGTAACAAGGATTCAGCCATGTTCTTACAAATAGTTTATTGTTTGGTTGTGCATCATTCATTATCATTATTTTTGCATACATGTTTCTGTCCTTGCACAAGTTTAACTTTTCTCAATGTCTTTTTTCTTTACCTAGGTTAATCTATTCTTTGCTTTAATTTCTAATGGTGCACATCTTGCTGTTTTTGTATCAGGCTTTGAAAATACATCACTTATGATGTTTTGATTTTTAGTGTTAACTTTTTTTTTTTTGTAATTCACCTCCCCGAGGCCGAGAAGGCCACTACAGATGAGGAGGATACTTGTGGTTATAACCCTCTCTCAACTCTATAACTCCAAAACACGAACCACGATGAACAAGGACTCTGCGCAGAGAAACTATTTAATAATAAAATTTTCTACCATATGTAGTTGCGTAATCAATTTGTAATTTTTTTACTTAAAAAAATTCTATTATTAAAGTCTTGTGGAAAAAATTTTGTATTAAATTTCTGTTATTGTGTTAAATAATTGACTTTATCAATTAATATTCCATTTAAACAATAAATTAATAGCCTACAACCTGCTTCTCTTTTAAAAAGTTTTTTGAACTATATGTTATTATCAAAATTCAAAAATATTAGTTAAAATAATGAATTTGGTGTATTTTAATAAAAATTCTTCTTCAAATAATTTTTTGTCATACTCATCAACACCAACATCATAAACATTGTTGTCGTCAGGACTAGCAGTGTTTTCACTCTTAAAGCAATTACATAGTTTTGAACACTAGTGCTAAGTGTTAGTGAAGTAGATTTTTTTTATTATTGGGTTTAGATTCATACTTTTTTTCCACTCTTTCATTAAGGATTTTGTTGGTAAACTTTCGGTAACATTATAAGTAATAAATTGGAAAGTAATTGCTTCCTATAAATCTGTAGCATAAAGATCCTTAAATAAAACATCTTTTTCAACGAAATTGAAAGAATTTCCTCTAATACTTTTCCTTTTTTCTGCAAGAAAAAGCCATTCTACATTGTTCTTTTTATACTGAAATTTTCAAACTTTTTTTTTGAAACTTATTCAACACAGGAATGACTCCACTTACATGAACAATACGGATTGGTTTGTTGCACTTGGCTGAAATTTGGTTTATAAATAATCACAAATATGTTATTGATTTTATTGATGTATATTGTTGTGTAAATATCACAATAAATTAGACCTTCCTATATTTATGAACAGTATTGTACTCGATGAGTCATCTACCCTTCATCTTCTAGGATTAACTCTTACTTCTGATCTTTCTTGGAAATCATATATCAAATCTGTTGCAAAATTAGCATCTGCTAAGGTTGTTTTATTGAGCTTGACACTTTGTTACTCCGGATTCTATTCTCTATCATTATAAATCTCAAATCCGGCCTTGTATGAAATACTGTTGCCATATCTGGGGCGTATCTTCTAATGATGCCCTTTTTCTATTAGACAAGGTGCAAAAACGCATTGTAAATATAGTTGGATCTGCTTTTGCAACCATTATCACATCTTTGTAATGTTGCTTCTATTATAAGTGTATTATTAGTATTGTTAGTATTAGTATTATACTAATACTAACGACAGTTAGTATTAGTATAATACTGTTAGTGTCATTACATAGCTTCTTTGTATTAGTATTTACATTTTGCATTATACTAATGCAAAAATAATGGGTGTTGTTTTACAGGTACACTTATACTCATTAGTGTTTTAACATACCTGTGAAACGACACGCCTTATTTTTTTTTTGGCAACTTGTGCACAAATTTTCAATGCACAGTACAAAATAACCATAACTCTGCAATTTTTCAAAAAGAAGTAGTTGCTCTTAAAAGTTTAACAGTTAAAACCTCTTTGAAAACATATATCCAGTTTAAATTAGTCATATATCTTTATGAAATGCTTTCAGAATTTAAGATTTTTGAAGTACCGCAAGATGGCAGATGCTGGCTTCACTTTTTAACTCAAATCACCCACCTAGTTATATTTATACGTCATTGATTCAAACTCAACTAAGGGTTGAATTGCATTTTTAACTTTCTATTTTAAATCAATGATCCACAGCAGTTCAGAAAAACAATAACTTTACATGATTTTATTAAAAACTTTGCCTATATTTTTACTTTAAAAGTCAGTTTGATTTTGACTTTCTGAGGTCGCTGAATGACACAATCCCAAGTTAAAAACATTATTGATGAGCTTAAAAACAGTAAAAATAGTGATTCTTATAAAAATAACTGATTTTATACGAATGTATATATATTTTTGTTCTATTTTTTTAATCTTAGAATGTTTTGTAGACATTATTTATGTATAATTATATGTAAAAAATACTAAAGAACATGTAATAAAGCTATATTTAATTAAGGTAAAACACAAATACTCTATAGAAAATTATTTTCATGTTCTTAGTGTCAATATATTTTCAAAGCAACAAGATACTGTTGATTTCCATAAATGTTTACTTTTTAGCAAAAACTAGGACTACAAATTCTTTAAAATTTTAAAGAAATGAGAGTGGTATCAGTATATGTTTTATTTATTCTAATTAAATACACCAATAGGATGTTAAAACATTTAATTTTACTACCTACAATTATGTTTTTGCATGTTTTTTATCTCAAAAAGTGTCTCTTTATCAAAAAAAGTGATATGTAAAATATATTTATAGTTTTTTAGATCAACACTGTATAAATTTTATGATAGATATGGTGTCAATCTATATAAGGTATGTAAATATACTCATTTAACTTTCAGAAAAACTCTACTTCAAGGTTCAGATATTACGATAACAAAACAAAAAATTTATTTTTAATATATCCACTACTTTAGCTAAAATTACTGTGCGCTGAGTAGTCAAACCTAAAAAATTGAGTGGAGTCTAAAGGTTAATTTTTAAATAATAAAAAACAAAACATGGAATTAAAATTATTTTAGATTTTCTAGACTTATTAAAAAGTCATGAGAGAAGAATTCTGAACTCCTTTTGTTTAATAAATTAATATATTTTTAAATAGTATAAAAGATATATAGTTGTAATTATGAATTTATAACTTAAAAAAAGCCTTAATAAAAATATTACCTGTCGCTTAATTTATTTGTGAAGTATTTAAACATATTTTTTTAACGCTCTCTAATGCTTATAAGTTTTGTTTAGATGACATTTTATGACTAATATATATTTAGATAATGAAATATATATTTTATATATATTAGATATATATATTAGATATATATTAGTTATATATATTAGATAATGAAATATATATTTAGATAATGAAATTCTGCCAAACACTCTGCTTCTCCCAAAAGGTTTGAAAATAAACTTTTTCTAAATTAAATTTTTACTTTGTAATGGTAGTATATAATGTTTTATAACAATATTTATATGAATTTGTAATGGTAGTGTATGATATTTACAATTACTCAAAGAATTAGTGTTTACAGGAAATGTTTTCATGAATGTAGTGTATATATATATATATATATATATATATATATATATATATATATATATATATATATATATATATATATATATATATATATATATATATATATATATATATATATATATATGTATATATATATATATATATATATATAGGCCTTGTTATTAGATTTCGCTGCGGAAAAGCGAAACGTGAATAAATGTAACTTTACTGAATAAAGATATTTACATTGTTAAAAGTTAAATTATGTCAGTTGCGTTTTTACTTCATTGTAATTAAATTTAAAATGACAATAAAAACCATTGTTAGTCTTAGAAACGAAATAGCTTTAAAATGAAAAAGCTTTAAATTGAACAATATTGTTATAAAAAAAACTAAAGTTTTAATGTTGATTAAAAAAAAAGTCTTTTTGTATTAAAATCTTATACTTATTTAAACATTATTTTTTTTGCTTTCAAACATTCGATTTATGCTTGTTTTTTTTTAATATTTTTTTTTTAAATAATTTAAATTTAACACTTTTAAATGTACTTACAACTAAATGCGTAAATTGGGTTTACCCCTTTTTAAAAAAACATTTGCTTTGATAAAATAAAAATTGTAAAGAAACGAAATTTACTGCTTTTCGGCTGTTTTTTTTTTATTTCCATTAAAATATTTTATTTTTATGTACAGTGAAACCTAATGTATTTTTACTATTTTTTTACTCAATCCAAAAAAAAAAAAAAAAATAGTGTTTTAAGATGTTATAAGCAGAATTTGTTTTTAACAAATATCATTATAATTTTGAAATTTATGTATCTTATTTATAGCTCTAGTACTAGTTTTGTTTTTAAAATAAAATACATATAAGTTGGGCTTTTAAAGAGTTTATTTATTGATCGCGTTATTTTTAATTGGTTTAAATTTTGGTTAGTTTTATAAAAAATTTCTTTGGCAAATGGCTGAGGGAAAACCTAAACATAACATTTATAACTCGAGTTTAAAAGAACTTTTTTGTATTGGCATTATTTATTAACTTGTAGTTATAAAATGAATAATGCGCTTCTGTAAATAATGAATGAAACTGTAAAATAATGGAAAAAGAAAAACTGGAAAATAATGCACTTTCAATAAGTTTAATAAATTTATTTACTAAAAAATATGAATATTAAAAAAATATTTAAATTTAATAAAATAAATTAAAAGTATTTTTTTTTTTTTATAACTTGAATGTTTTTAAACTTATGAAATATAAAACTTAATATTAAATATGATAATAAGTTTAAACTTAAAGCACTTATTTTTTTAACTAATTTTTAACAACAACAATAAAAATAATAAAACAAATTTTTCTTTAACAAAAAATCTATTAGTTTACAATTGCGGTTAAATGCTTTTACTTTATTTTCTTCTGAATAAACGTCACATTAACGATATCAAATGATAATTTAAATATTTTAAAAGATTAAAGTTTTTGTGTAACGCAAAGCTGCTGAATGCGTAGGCAAATTGGGTAAAATGCGAGCTGCGTAACGGTTCTTAACAAGGCCTGATATATATATATATATATATATATATATATATATATATATATATATATATATATATATATATATATATATATATATATATATATATATATATATATATATATATGTATATATATATATATATATATATATATATATATATATATGTATATATATATATATATATATATATATATATATATATATATATATATATATATATATATATATATATATATATATATATATATACATATATATATATATATATATATATATATATATATATATATATATATATATATATATATATATATATATATATATATATATATATATCATATATATATATATATATATATATATATATATACTATATATATATATATATATATATATATATATATATATATATATATATATATATATATATATATATATATATATATATATATATATATATATATATATATATATATATGTATATATATATATATATATATATATATATGTATATATATATATATATATATATATATATATATATATATATATATATATATATAACAAATATTCCTCATTGCTTGAATCAATCACAATGTTTCTAAATTTGTTATTTAATGTTCTTTGTAGCTTATAAGTTTCGTATAGATGACTGTTTATAACTAATAATTTTTTATTTTGTTTAGATAACGAATTTCTGCCAATGCCTCTGCTTCTCCCTAAAGGTTTACATATGATTTTTTTTTAATTTAAATTTACACTTTGTAATGGTAGTATATGGTGTTGTATAATTATCTGTATATGACTTTGTAATGTTACTATATGATACTAAGAATTACTTAAAGAATTAATGGTTACATGAAATGATAACATGATTGTAGCGTGTTATTTGCATATAGTTTTATATTTATTATATTTAAGTATATCAGGCCTTGGCGGTAGCAAGAACTTTAGCTCTTGCCCACACTCCCCTAAAATGTTTTATGGGAGCCATTTATAGCTCTTGCAAAAGTATAATTTTTTCTTTTAAAAGTATCATTGTAACTAAAATAAAAAACACATTTTTTTAAATTTTTCATTTTAATAATTGTTAAAATGCCTGCATTTTATTACAATAAGAAAATATAAAACTTTTTTTATAAGCAATAAAAACAACGCTTATCTAAAGAGTTTTTTCATGCTGCAGTAAATGACACTTATTATGTATATATTCATGTAATTAAGGAGGTTTAATAAACAGGAGAACGGTTACCAACCTATCAATCATGGAAACCAAAGAGTTCTACCGAGTTTTATTGTCAAGTTTTAGCATCAGTTTTTTATTTTCTTGTTTGAAAACATACTTTTGCAATATGGAGCTACAAACGCTTGACAATTTAAAAAACTTAATCAGTTTACATGAAATATTCAATACAGACTTAACGTCATCTCAAAAAATTCTCTTGCTGCTTCCATGAGTAGGTTTCTCTATGATGCCATTAAAATGTCACTGCGATTCAATCTCTTAAGATAATCATTGTCATTATAATCAGAATCTGAATCATTATCTTCTTCTGAAATAAGATTTAAGAGAAGTTCTTTGAAATTGTTTGCATAACCATATTCATTGGCATCTTATTCACTTGATTCATCCCTCAAACATGTTTGGTTGTCCCTGGTATGTAAATTTTAATAAAACTTTTTCTGAATAAAAGTTGACATTTAAAGAATGTCAACTTTTATTCAGAACTTCTGCAACAGATGTTTTAACTTCTTCTTTTTTAATATTATAATATGGATAGTTCTCATGTGGGTAATCAGATTTAATCAGGTTGGTAATCAGACCAGGTGCCCTCTATTTGACTTGTAATGTTGCAGTCGTTAATACTTTTCCAAAAAAAATTATACAAGCTTTTTAAGGGGAATCATAGTGTTGCAATAATTATAATACCAAAAAATAACTAGTTGATAAAAATATTTAACAAACTAGTGGTTTACAAACAGCATAACCAAATAACTTCTATTTTTCATCATTCATTTACAAGATTCTAATACAAAAATTTCAATATTGGTATTGAAAACTGTGGAAACTTTAGTAAACACGCTTTTAGAAGATGCCATATTTTACACAGTGTAAACATTTTATGGAATAAAAAAAAGTTTGAGTTTTTTATTAAAGTTTAACAAAATTAAATGTTGACTTGAATAAAAACAAGTATAATAAATAATCATATTTATTTTTCAATCTCTAGTTGTTATGTACAGGGGTGGGACCGCAAAATGTGAACACTTTTCTGATTGTAATATTTAATTTTCTGTTAAATATGAACTATTTTAAATGTTCAATTTGACCTCCTTGATTCTCGTAGATCATTTTACAACGTTTAGACCAACTCTTTAGACACTTTCTGATGAGTGAGAGAGGGATGTTCTTCCATATGTCAATAATGTGGCGTTTCAAGCCGTCGATTGTCTTTACTTTTTGATCTTTTAACTTTTCAAGCATATATCCCCAAATACAAAAGTCCATTGGAGCGTTATCTGGACTAAATGGTGTCCACATTTCTGGTGGAATGAATTTGATTCTATTGTTGTTTAAAAATGAAATTGTCTTTTTAGATGTATGGCTCGGCGCCGAGTCTTGTTGGAATATGAAATCTTTTTTAAGATATAAACGCTTGCAATCTTCACTGAAAAATGGTTTTAAAATGTTATCAATATAACAATCTGCATTAATTTTAACACCTTGTTTAACAAATTTAAGTTTTGTGGTTCCATTATAACAAATTCCGCCCCATACCATTATTGCCTTCGAAAAACTTTTAGGTCTTGTTTTAAACTTTTTGTGAATGTTTTTTCTATCTCTACTATAATAATAATCATTTTCTTGATTACAATTTGAAATGTGGAATAGTTTCTCGTCTGTTGTTATTATTTTTCGCCAATTTCTCTTTATAAAATTTGATAAACGAGCAGATCTTTGAAACCTCTTTTCTTTAGCAGCCGGAGACAAATCATGAACTTTTTGCTTTTTGAATTTGTGTAATTTGAATCTTTTTTTGATATAGTTGTTAATTGTTCTTCTGCACACACCAAACAATCGTGCAAGATGTGAAATTGATGGGTATGAGTCTTTTAAAACCAATCTTTTGAGTTTTTGAATTTGAGTACTTGAGAGCTTTAATGGCGGCACGTGGCGTTTCTTCTTTATTTGATCATTTGCAATTTTTTGGTGGTCTAAAGTAATCTCATTCTTTAACTTACTTATATAACCAATTGATACATCGATTCTTTAACTTACTTATATAACCAATTGATACATCGATTCCTTCTTTGTTTAATATGGTTTTGATTCGTCTGTAACTAATTTTATCCATGATCATTGAAATTATACGGCTTTTTGGAATTAATATATATTTTGAAGACGGCATGTTTATAAGTGTTGCCACTTTGTTTACATATTCATTAGTACTTTGTCTTTCGTTTTTTATCAAATAAACTCATCTACATCTAACGAGAAAATAGTTATAATAAAACAAAAACGTTCACATTTTGCGGTCCCACCCCTGTATATACATACACATTTGTATATATATAAATTTATATATGTATATATGTCAATTCATATATGTATATATATAAATTCATATATATGTATACATATATGTATATATATAAATATATGTGTATATATATATATATATATATATATATATATATATATCTGTGTGTGTGTGTTTATACACACATGTATATTTATAAATATATTTATCATTTAATATTGACTATATATATAATATTGTTATATATATATATATATATATATATATATATATATATATATAAATATATATATATATATATATATATATATATATATATATAAATATATATATATATATATATATATATATATATATATGTATATAAATATATATATATATATATATATATATATATATATATATATATATATATATATATATATATATATATATATATATATATATATATATATATATATATATACAGAAAACCATAATTTATGACTGCTAGGAACATCAATTGCCTAAAAGGTCTTTTGAACAACCGAACTGGAACTTCAACAAGAGAAGTTGCAAATAAATTCAAGTGTGATCATTCTTACATTGTAAAAACGTTAAAAAACAAAACAAACATTTTTTTATTTTAAGAAAAAAAGAATCCCTGATTGCACTGATAAACAGTTAAAGCAGTTGCAACTGAAGTGTGAAAGTGTGAAGTGTCACGGTTTCTTAATTTGTCGCAAATTCAGAAACCCTGACTTTGTCATTGACGATGAGTCTTATTTTACATTTAAACATACGAATAAATGGATTTTTCTCAGATGAAGCAAAAAATACACCTAAAAATGTATAAAATAAGCGATAAAGTAAATTTAAAAAATGTATATTCTTGTGTAAATTAACATATTCCCTCGTGGAACCTCAAAACCATTTATTGTTTCTGCAAGACTGGCAATTAATTAAACAGTGAACAAAAATGATTGCATCATTAAAAGATTGGTTCCTTTATCAACAAACATCACAGTGATGGTAATTATGTTTTCTGACTCATTTGGCCTCTTCACATTATGCTAGAAGTGTGACCAATTCCTCGATGAGAAAAATATCCCTTATGCAACAAAAGTTGATAATCTGGCATGTGTCCCAGAATTACAACCAATAGAAAATTTCTGGTCAATCCTTAAATGTTACATGTATGAAAACAATTGGGAAGTTGAAAATGAAGATCAACTGCAAAAAAAATCCATTTTTGTTAAAGAAAACTTGATAAAAAGCTTGTACAAGGCATGTGTGGACATGTATACATAAAAATTGATGCAGTACGTTGTAATGGCAAGAAAGCATTATTTCAGTCCCGAAAGTAAAAAACTAATATATTTCTTAATATTTTGTACTAATTTTTTGTTCGTGAAATTCTTGTTATTCAATTTTAATAAATAACGTTTTGTTGTACTATGACTGCTTGAGTTTATTAAACATAAAATCCATTATCAACTCTCACAATAAAAGCATTTTACATAAAGAGACAAAAACTAATAAAATGAAATGCAACTGCATTGTCAAATCCAAATTTCCTATGAACAACTATTGCCTTTCCAACAATATTGTTTATCAGGCCACCATTTTTCAAACAATCCAGAATATAAAGAAAAAATGTATTTTGGGCTCAGCAAAACTTTGAATATGTTTATAACCAATAAGTAAAAAAATTAGTCAACAAAATAAACAATAAACAAATTATTTTCTTCTTTTAATTTTACAAAAATTATTCTAATTATAAATTTTAGGACTAGAGGCCTTTCAAAAAATCATCAGTAGTGCTGTTTTTGTTATTATGACAACAAAATATAACTTTTTTATAAAACAGGATATGATAATTATTTAATGTTGCTATTAGCAAATATTGTAATCTATATTATAATGTCAATTAAAAGTATCATGTTTTTGGTTGTGAAAATGTTTTTCATAAGAAATTAGGTTTTTTTCATTTTTTAGCTCCACAAACACAAAAAGCTGGAAGAAACGTTCTATAAAATAAAAGGTTGGCAGTTCAGATTGCTGTAAAAAGTTGTAACTAAAAGAAAAATTTCTTTTGATTGATTTTGGGGAGCTGGTCCTAGGAGTTTTGCGTTGTGAAATGCTTTTTCAATAATATCATTAGGATATTTGCATTCTTTTAGCCACGTTTTTAGTTCTGCTCAACGTTATTTTTCTTTATTGTAATCAGATGTGAAAACAATTATTCTTTTAGCAAGGGATAATAAGGGATGTTCTTTTTTATATGATAGGGATGATGGCTGGTGTAGTCTAAGTAGTCGTGAGTATTGGTTTCTTTATAATAAATATCCGTTTTTATTTTTCTGTTGTTTTCAAGAATGATAGATATATCAAGAAATTAATAATATAATAAGTATTTCCATCTATTATAAATTCTTTGCCCATGTCTGTTGTAAAACTGATTGAATTATCTATTTTGGTCAATGAGTTTTTAAACTTAATGATATCTAAATGTTTTGGCCAGATTAAGAAACCATCATCAATATATCTATAATAAAATTCCTGTATGTCATTTACATCTTTACTGGAAAAGTATTTAGGTAAAATCTTAGGAAAAAGTCTCGTTTCTTCTAAATATTCAATTGTTAGGCATGCATAATCTGGAGAGAAATTCGTACCCATGGCTGTTCCAATAATTTGCCAAATCATTCGGTCGCTGAATAGAAAGTTGTTGTTTTTTAAAATAAAGTATGTTGATTCAATGATAAATTCAGGAGTAAATCTTTTATCTATTAAACTTTTATGTTTTTCAACCCAGTACTTTAATGCTTCTATACCTAGATTGTGTGGAATACTAGTATTTAGATTAACAATGTCACAAATCGAAATACAACTATCCGAATTTATCTTTCTTAAGAAATCCCAATCATCTTTAATGAAAGTTTTTTGTTTTGTTACAATTGGAGACAAAATTATATGTTAGAACTGGCTTAAATGTGATGTTGGTGAGTTAATTCCATATTAATTAATATGGAATTAACTCACCAACATCACATTTAAGCCAGTTAAACTGGCTTAAATGTGATGTCACTACATCACAATTAATAGTTAATTACATAATTCTACCTTTAAGATCATTTGGTGGTTTCATTTCGATATAAAGTGAATTAGATGCGTTTACTTTGTCTATAATTTCTTGACATTTAGGAATTTTTGGAGTTATATAGAAACTACTAGATTTCCATTTAAAATTTGTGATGTAGTTTATTTCATTTTTTGTTAGAAAATTATATTTTCCTATCATTTTTATTAGATCTCTAAAAACTATTTTATCTGATTCAGGTTTTGTTCTTTCATAAGTATTTGTGGAGAGCAGGTGGTCTTGATGAACTAGTTTTTCATTATAATTAGTTGAATCTATTACAATAAAAGTGTTTCCCTTGTCTGCTTTTTAATAACTATATTTTTGATTTCTTTTAGATCTTTTAATGCTATCCTTTCTTGTTGAGTAATGTTATCAACTGACTGCATTTTGATAGGTTTAATTTGTTCAATTTTTGAAATGATTTCATCAAGATATGGTAGAGTTGTTTTGATATTATAATTTGACTTTTTTTAAATTATGCTAATGTCTGTATTCTCCCTTCCATGAAATTTTTCTTTAAGTATTAGTTTCCTTGTGAATTATTTTATATCAGAATCAATGTGTAAAATATTTCCTTTAGTAGTAGGGCAAAACTTTGGACCTTTTGTAAGAAGTGATATTTGAGATCTTGTCAGGTGTTTAGTTGATAAGTGGATGACCTTAGATTGTATTTTTTTTTGGATTGGGCGTGACCAGTTTTTTGAAGTTATAATTTCTGATGTTTGATTATGATTATTATTTATATTGGTTGAGCTAGAGGAAGTTGAGCAATCGATATTATGGTTTTGGTGGTTATCCTCTTGTTCGTTATTTTGCAAATTTTTGAATTATGATTATTCCTGTCTTTTTCATACGCTGTTTTAGTAGAAGCTAATTTTTCTCATTTTTTGTCAATGCGATTAATATCCTCTTTTTTACATTCCTCGTATCGAAATACTAATTTTTCTTTAACTTCTTCGCTAGACGCATGGTTAATTATAAAACTAGTTACTTCATCTTCAAGGTTTTTTAATGACAATAGAAAATTATCTTTGCTTATTGTAAGAATCTAACATTCAGATTTAAAGCGCTGTAATTTTTTTATCCCATTTTTTTTCGTCATATGACATAAAATGGAAATTGTCACTTCTTAACTTTTTAGGAATAAACAAAGGTTCTTGTTGCAAGCAGTCATGATAAATATTAAGAAGGTTTGTGCATCTACTATGTTTGTAGTAGAGATATTCATGTTTTTCTAACGATTTTATAAAATACCTTTGATGTTGATTTTTAAACTTCATGTATTCCTTTTCTACATTGTCATGTAAGGTAGTGTTATGTTGCTGGTATATAGATAAACATTCTTTAGGTGTTAATTCTACAGTTTCTCTAATTAATGGTTTAATCTATCTTCAAATGAAAGAGTGAAAGAAGTTTTTTCTAATGTCCAACCAGTAATTGCGTATAAACAACTACCCAATCTACTGAGAACACTTACTTTTTCAAAAATTCAATCAACCACTAAAGAAGTAGGATTATTTAAATGCAATGATAATCGTTACAAAATATGTAAATTCTACCTTCAAGAAGTTAAATCATTTACGACATCAAATGGTACTATATGGAACATAAAAAGCCATATTACTTGTAATAGTAAGAATGTAATATATTATTTAAAATGTTTGTCATGTAACAAGAAAGCTACATACACCGGAAAAACAAATAACCTACGACTTCGCACAAATGGGCACATTTCTAGTTGTAGAACTGGGCAATCAACAGATAGGTTTGATAACCATGTATAAAATTGTCAATGTGCGCATAACTCCATTATAGAACCTTTTTTCCAGCTTTTTGTGTTTGTGGAGCTAAAAAATGAAAAAAACCTAATTTTTTATGAAAAACATTTTCACAACCAAAAACATGATACTTTTAATTGACATTACAATATAGATTACAATAGTTGCTAACAGCAACATAAAATAATTATCATTTCCTGTTTTTTTAAAAAAATTATATTTTATTGTTATAATAACAAAAACAGCACTACTGATGATTTTTTGAAAGGCCTCTAGTGCTAAAATTTATAATTAAAATAATTTTTGAAAATTGAAAGAAGAAAATATTTTGTTTATTGTTTATTTTGTTGACTAATTTTTTAATTTTTTTTAAAAAAATAATTGCAAATTAATAAAGAAATGAAAATTTTTTTTTTAATCTTTTAATACAATTATGAAGAAATGAATAATAGATAAGCATTGTAATTTTTTTTCGAGCATTTTTACAAAGCCTTCTGTCATATTTTTGTGGTAACTTTAATTAAGTTACGACAAAAATATGATAATAAAGTTAATTATATTTCTTAAATAATTTAATTAAAGATAAACATTTTAAGAATTTTATCTATAGTTGAACTGTAAATAAAAATATTAAAATTGTATTTGCGATCTTAGTTTAGCTGAAATGTATCCAATCTAATAGAACATATTTTTATATATTGATATGTTTGTTATACATTTTATTTTTTGTTGTGCATCAATAATATGATATTTTTATTAACTTATTTAGTACTTAACTTATTTAATTATTAACTTATTAACTTATATAGTACTTAAAATGATATTATTTTCAAAAGTTTTAAAAAAGAAATGTCAAAACAACTTTTATTTCAATGGATAACAATTTACAATCGTTAGGTCATTGCATATTAATTTTCATTAATTTACGTGCACTTTTTAAAGTGCTAAGTTTTTTCCAATAAATTATTAGAGTTTTTTATATTAAGTATTTTTATATTAATATTGAGTCAGTGGTTATATTTAAGTATATGTAGTATATTTTTAAGCATATTTGTAATAAGTTATTAAATTTTATTAAATTAAGTATTGTGCATTTCTCGTAGATTTTGTTGTAGTGGTTAATGAAGAGATACTGAAAAAAGATAATCTAATTGCAACATTACCATTCATCGAAAAAGCATATTTAGTATCATTCAAAATAAAACCAACTTTGTATTCACCAGGATACAAAAACATAATTCATTTGACTACTGGAAGAGACTGGAGTGAATTTGGATTTGGAACTCCTTGTGTTTGGTTAGATGACACAGGAAAGGTCACTGTTTGTTCTGCAATCAATTGGTATCCTATCAAATGTTATATCACACTTGAAGCAGTCTCCTTGAACCAATGGTCCAGCATTAGAGTATCTCAAAATCGAATTAACAGTATATACTTTTTAAGAGTTTATGTGGATGGGATGTTAAAGATTGACATCAAAAACTCAGATCCACGTTCATTTAAAAATGTAAAAGTGTATAATGCAGATCCCTGGTATGAAGCACAACCTACTAGTATTAAAGATCTGAAAATATTTAATGGAAATGTTGGTAAGATAAATATTATTATATACAAAAGCTGCGTTTGATTGTGTATATGCATTAGTTTATATTCATACAAAAGTGCTTTTTTTTTTTTTTCTTTCTTTCGTAATTCACCTCCCCAAGGCCAAGAAAGCCACTACAGATGAGGAGGCTACTTGTGGTTAAAACCCTCTCTCAACTCTATAACTCTGAAACACGAACCTTAACAAACAAGGCCGCTGCACGGAGAAACAAGTTGAGCGCGGTACTACCAGGTATTTTGTGGGAATCAAACTTGGGACCTCTCGCTGATGAACCAAGCGCTCTACCACTGCACCATTACCGCATTACAGATATACAAAATTTTTTAAATTTTAGTTTATAGTTATATATATGCAATAGTAATAAATTATAGAAATTATTAAATTAAGGGGTAATCAGATTCTTTCTGTTGACAAGCCTAACATCCATTTTTTTTTATATTAAGCTCTCTGTTTTAATGACCAGGCAGCTCATCCTTATATCTCCTAATGGCACAGCTCTAAAACTCAATTTTATGATCTGTGGCCGGCTGGTAGTCAGGTTTCTGAACTCTGTGTTAGCTCTCAGTGAGGCTGATTTCATCAACAGCTGTAAAATATCAGAGTGCTAAAAGTGGAATGTTGCGCATGAATGGTGTCCCTGTTTGTACTTTTAGTGTGCATTTTCGAGGCCACATTTGGAGCCCTTTGTTCTGGCTTAGGGTTCATTTATTATAATGAGGCAATTCCTAAAACTATTAAAATAGTGTACCAAGTCTATGCTTTAAGATAAGTTCTTTAACAAATTTAAAAATGATTAAAGTTCCAAAAACTATAAAACACAAAAAAACCATTGTCATTGCCTAGTTCTCTAAATTATCATTTACAAATATTTGTGGTCTTTGAAGTAACTTTTTTTCTATTGAGTCTTATTTCTTGCAAGTTCACCAGACAATTTTGCTCTTTATAAGTCTAAATTGAGTTTGGCTGTCTCATCTTGTAATCTTAGTGTTGATGGTTATCTTCTTTTAATTTATAAAGACACTAATGCATTTTACTCATTGCGTTTTAATTATTCATTTAAACATCTTTAGTAACAATTTATATGATGTTAAGTGACTTGCATTTTATTCAACGTAAACATATTATGTATGAAACATTTATTTCATTTAAATAAAACGTTAAGCTCATAGTAAACTAGTGTAAAATATTTTATAGGTAAAATTACCCCTTTATTCAAAATTTTCTACTATCTGGTTCTTTCTAATTGTGGAAAGTAATTCCAAAGTTACAACAAGTAACTTGTGTATTAAGTAAATATAACATAATAATAATCTCTTTTCAATAGATATTACTATTAAAATATTACAGATATTACTGTTAAAAAAACTGATTGGTCTCTAAAGGTCAATAAGCAACTATATGGCAAATGTTACGGATTTTTAGCTATGCTTTTGTAAGAAGGAATTCTATTAGAATTTGAGCAAGAATAATCAAAATAATGTGTTGTGTAAGGGACAGGGAGTTAAGGAATTTTTGCAAGAAATGTTTTAGCAAGCTAGTTTAAAATCATGTTTTTATAAGTGTTCAAAGGTAGTATATACTTTTGAAAAAGTTCTTATATTAACTATACTATTATATTAAAAAGAATAAAAAATAAAAAAAGGATTGTTAATGTTATAAATTCATTATTATACACAATGGTATTAGAATAACATTTAAAATCTTATACAATTTTTATTCTATTAATGTAAAAACCCCAAATATGTTTCAAATTTCAGTTTAAATAGAGAGCTATTTTTAGCTTATTAATTTTTTTTTTTTTTTTGGACATCATTAAATATACTTAACGCATTATACAATAAAAATTTTTAGTACATAGTTGTTTTCATTTTTTAACTTTGAGTTTCGGAGGAATAAAACTAATCATTATTAAATTTTAGAGCAACTAATAGAAGATAGAGAAACACCTTTGGTTCAAAACAAACTGGTGGCAGTTATTCCAATATTGGATAAAATTTATAAAATTTATTTTTATGTGAAACCAAACTCGTATTCTAAAGGTTGGCACAATGTTATTCGTTTCATCATTAATTCTGATGCAAATGCATATGATGATAGAGTTCCCGGAGTGTGGTTTCATAACAGTGGTGATGGCAGTCTTTCTATCACTGCTCCTCAAAATGGAAATTTTAACAGTTCCTTCAAAACAGCTCCTATTCCTTCTAAAGTGTGGTCACAGATTGAAATCAGTCAACAGTTAGAACATTTTGCATATATGTATACAATAAAATTGAATGGAGAAATAGTTTTTATAGTAGAAAATGTTCAGCCAGAGACCTATGAAAATGTTTATGTTTATGCTTCAGATCAATCATATCAAACTCAAGATGGTTTTATAAAAGATTTTGCAATAATAAACGGAAAAGCAGGTATTCTTAATGATTCTGAAAATATTACTTTCTTTCAGGTGTGATGAGTCATAAAAAAAAACTAACGACTCTAACTCCAGTTGTTGAAATTTTTTGAGTACAACTCCGATTCTGACTCCAGTTGTACTCAAAAAATGACTCCATTAAAAAAATTATTTTTGACAAATTTATGAAACTTTTTTTTAGATTTAGTACGAACATTAGGTTAATTAAATGTTTTGTACATGAACATGCAATACCGAGAAGTTTTGCTTTTAGAGTCGGAGTTGCGATTTTGTTTAACGACTCTAAAAATGCTGCAACTCTGCAACTCCGATACCACAGCCCTGCTTTCTTTGATAAATGATTTCAACACTTATTACTGTTATACTTAAATTGTAATTTCCCCTTTATGTTTTTTGGCCTCTTGCCAGAAATTGCTTTCAAAAAAAATGCTTATCTGTTTTACGACCCATTTTTTAATGGGATCATCACATCAGGCATATACTATATGTAGAATAGTGTTTTTTAAATAAGTTTCTAACGCTATTTAAAAAAGAATAAACTTTTTTGAATAAACGTTTTTAGTAGAATTGAGCAGACAGAATCCGCAAAGTTTTTCAAATGTAAGATCAGTAAATTATATAGGTCTAGTTTTTTTAACTTGCCTATAATAATTAGGCTAAAATAGTCTCTATGTTCATATACTCAATCAACAATCTTTCTCTCTAAACAGAATTATGATTTAAACTGATTGAATTTTATTAATAACATAATAAAAATTAAATGTTTTGTTACTGCGCCATAAACATAGTTTTTTATTTGTTTATCAAAACTGTTTCCTTGTACACAGTAAAGTGAATAATTATTTTTCATTTTGAGATCTATTTTTTGTTTAACTTGAGAATTTAACTTATTGGGTATTAGGTGGTGATTTATTATAATAAAAGATCTGGATGATTTCAGGCTAATAGCCCTTTTAAGTATTTTTTTATTGACTTTTTGAAATTGTTACATAATTAGAGTAACTTCAAACTTCTATTAATTTTTTGATTTTGTTTTATCATAAACAGATTTTAAATTAGAAAAGAGTTTTTTTTTTTTTTTTTAAAATGCTTGTATAGGTGAACATGATTCTTTCAAATTTATTAAACTTTGAATATATCAAAGTACCAGCTTAAGCTTTTATATTGTTTTCTTATAATGAGTGTACTATTTAAAAAAACAGTTTTCTATTATGTTTGTAAATTTTCTGAGGTAAAAAATTGGCAATAGAGTAAACAGGTTGAGAAACATAGTTGATAGTAATAACTAAACAAGGGGGGTAAGTATTTTAAAATTATTGCTTTGTTTACTTTTAATTTATCAAACTGCTGAGCCAAAAAACTCAAAGACAATAGAAAATTTAAATGAAAATCAGTTTTCGAAAAGTTTGATCATAAATGTTACAGTTACATCTTTGATGAGTTGCACTGCAGCCTTTGTTGTTTCAAGTTTGTAGGTATGATTGGTATAATTGTTTTCATAACATTATAGAATTGCCAATATTGTGTCGTAAATTGCTTTAAAATTTTGGTTTTTTTTTGTTTCTTAACATAATTCAATGTTTGCTTCATCAGTTACTTAAATATTTTTTTATTTTTGTCTTGTTTTTTACAGTTGCTCTCACTTGAGTTAATAATTTTGTGAAACTATTTTTGTCTAAAATACAAAAGTAAATCTGTTTTTATTTAAAGTTTTATATTTAGTGTAAACCTTATGTTCTGCTTACTCATAATATGCTTGTGTATGATAGGTTAACAATGATGCAATTAATGTCTGGTGATTGTCTTTGTCATTACCAAATGTTTTTATTCTGTTTTTAGTTTTTGAAATAACTATAAGAAAAGTTTAATATTCAGCAGTAGATAAATTAATGGTTATAATAAAACTTTAAATAATTATGTTAACCTGTTCTAGAATCTGAAGTTATTTTTTAATGAATTTTAAATTTCTTAGTTTTAAAGAAATTTAAAAGTAGTTGTAAATTCCTTTAAAACTCATTTCATCCACACTGAATACAAAAAATTAATGTGCATAGTTGAAACACTATTAAAGATATATAACTGTATTTGTGAATTTACAACTTACTAGCAAAAAGTAACCCGTAATATGGCTTATGGTTGGTCTGTTACATGATTAATGTATAGTGGAAATATGCAAGGTATTTTCCAAAATTTAATTTTAAGTTGCAAAACCTTAACTTATACTCTTTTAGAAAAACACCTTTAAATTGAAATTATTATTTCATCTGTAAAATTAACATTAAAAGTATGAAAAGGTAAATTAATTTACCAATTAATATCTAGCATTGTTTGATTAATTTACAACTAACTTAGGTTATATCAGTGTGAGGCAGAACCATTTTGTTAGACATTCGAAAAGTTCAACACAATGCGATTTTAGTTACTGACAAAAATATCAACTTACTTCTTGTAGTATTTTTTTTATAACACAAACTTTAATTAATTATTAAGATTAATATGAACTTATGTTATACTGGTGTTATTAATTTTTTGGTATCTTTTTGATTAGTTTTTCTTTAAAAAAGAAAATTTTATCTTAAAAATATGAAATGCACACAACTAAATAAATTTATTAAAAAGTTTATTATAAGTAACTAAGCAATTGAGTACAAACACATTTTAAACAAAGTAATTTGTCTTGAAAAATGTCTGTGTATAGAATTATTCAAACTTCCTTTCCTAATAATGGTACAGGCATTTTTAATAAGCCAATCAATGTAGATCCATTTGTAAGAAGAGTTGCTGCTGTGCCAGTTCATGCAGATGTAGCAGATTTAAAACCCCTGTTTATGGTTTCAGCAATCAAATCAATATATGTAAAAGTTTTTCCACTACCAGCTGGTCCATCCATGAAAAACTATCTAGAATGCTGATTTTCTACACTCGGTTGCTCATTCAGTGTAGCAAGGTTATCGTTACATAAATTTAATTGATTACATTAAGCAACGGTCTCATTTGATTTGTTTTGTCAATAGATTGTTGAACATTTTCTTCAAAATTTTTTGAATTAAAATCTATAAACTCATCAATAACAGGCAGATTGTAATCAGCCAGCGTTTTACCACTTTGATTAATGATCTTTTCTATTTGATGAAAAGTAGCTAGTTCATCCATTAGAAGTGGGACTGAGCGGTGAAGGAAATTGTCTATCATAAAAGCTTTGGATGTATCCCAGAGATGTAAAGGTTTGTCAGGCTTACAAAAAAGTCAAAAATTTTGAAAACAACTGTCTTATTTGCCTTTGCATATGCGTTAAAACGTCCTCAGAAAGAGTATTCTGCCATTCAGTGTCTAACTGAAAGTCTATATTTGTAATATATATTTGTAATAATGTAATATTATTTCTAACCAATTTAGCACATTCAGGGTTGTGAACCAAATGATTATGCCAACCAGCATCACCTCTTGGGAAAAATAGAGAATAAACCATAGGATCTAAGTTGACAAACATACTTGATATAGTTTTAAGAAAATGGTCTCTTGGGTAAATAACAACTTCCTTGGAAGTAGGTGGAAGTACCAACAAATACAACTGCAACTTTATTATGCGAAGGGAGATTATAGCGACGTCTATTTTAACAACTGAAACTGAGTGACCATCTATAGCTGCTTGACGAGTTTATTCATCTTCTACTTCATCTATGTTTTTAAATGCAAAAGCAAATGAGTTCTGTTCACTTATGTTAGTTGGCAAATGAAACATTAAATCACGTAAGCAAAGATCATTGCCACATTGTTGCATTCTAAAACTTACTGCTGGAAGTGGATCATAGATATACAGTTGACAATATGTTTGGGGAACATCTTGATCTCTCCTAACTGAATAATTTTGATATTTATTTCTTATGAAGCACTCTATCAAATGCTTTTTGAAAATCAGTATATAAAATGTCTAATAATTGGCTATCATTAGTTGGTGATACGTAAGCAAAGATCATTATGATCTTTGCTTACGTGATTTAATGTTTCATTTGCCAACTATGTTATAAAATCTAAGGATTCTAGTAAATTTGTTATACAATTTTTAACCTTTAAGAAGCCATGTTGTTGATTACAGAAAAGATTATGTGGTTCTAAATAATTTTTTAAGCCATCATTTATAATTTTTTTTAATACTTTGCAAGGTACAGGTGTCAAAGATACTGGTCGATAATTTATTGCTTGCATTTTACTTCCATTTTTAAATATGGGACTTACATTAGCCATTTTCCAGAAATCAGGAAGATTACTATTTAATAAACTTTGTTAGTATGATTGAAAGTGGTATTAAAAAACTTTCAGAGCAGACCTTTAACACATAAGGATCAACTTCGTCATACCCACTAGTCTTCTTTATGTCTAATTATGACAATTATAGATTCAATAGTGCTTGATCAACAACTTTTTTTCCAAACTTGCTATTTGTTCGTACTTCAAAATTACAATCATTTGTATTTTCTTCTTTTATGTAAAAAAAATGAAAAAACTTGTTTAAAATATCAACAATATTAGGTTTGTAATAATAAATAAGCAAGTTATGAAATAATAGGATTCAATGTATATTTTAATTATATTAATTAAGGACTTCTTAAAACTTTTTTTTTCAAATAAATAAATTTAAAAAAAGTAATAAAAAAATTTATGATATAGTATTGTAACTCATTTAGTGCAAAAAAAGAAGATAAAAAGTTATTAGGCCAAATCATACCCCTAGTTTCTCTCTAAAAAATAAGATATAAGCTCAATAAATATGAAACTGCTGAAAAAAAACAATCAAAAAATGAAGCTAAAAGTAAAGCTTAAACTAACAAAATATATACGATTTAAAAAATTAGAAGGGATGATTCTTTCTACTTTTTATCTAATAAAAATGTAATATATAATTTTCTAAACATTTTTCTATACTTATCTCTTTTATTATATGATGATCTTAATTAGGGCTGTACCGGATTTAATTTTTTCAAATCCGGCCGGAGCCGGATTTGCCGGATTTCTACTGACAGATCCGACCGGAATCGGAGCCGGAGCCGGATTTCAAAACAAAACTACAGGAGCCAAAATCCTGTACATCCCTACTTGGTGTTGAGCATGGTCAACAATGTGGACTATTCAGAATACCAAGTGACTGCTGTTTTCTGTTAAACTTCATTGTTGTTATTTAAAAAGTTTTATAGCAATTTCTATATATAAATTAATAGAAATTCTAAAGAAATTCTATAGGCCATATGTTTTAAAAGTTTATAGTATTTCTGTTGAACTTTTTTTCCGGGATTTTGTCACTCCGCCACTGTAGTGGATCATTGTGTCTATTTATTTCTGGTTCTTTCGGATATTTCCTTAGTTGAGTTTTAATGCCTTTTAGTAATTGTTGTTTATGTGCCCTGCCACCAGCGGACGTAGACTGAATAATTTTATCAATAAATTGCCAGAGTAATGATGATGATGATGTAGAAAAATTATAAAGCCCGGCTTATTTGGTGGATTTTCTTCAGTTTTGTCAATTTTCTGTTCAGCATGCTCAGATTGACTTCAATCTTGTTTTTTCAGCTGTCAGTGTTGCCTGTAATGAGGAGAATTTAGTTTTAAATTGTGAGTCAACCAGCTTCGTTAGTATATAAAGAGGTTTCTTTTTTCAATGCTTTTAAAACGCTCATCCAATCACTTGATTAGGGTTGACATCATAGTCTTTATACCTGCATCATTGTAGAATATCGTGTGTCTTCCATTCAGAATTTTTTGTTGCGTTGTTGTTTGAAATTAGACTAAGCTTATTAAATTATAAAGAAATATAAATACAAATATGAGGTTCATAAAATATAGTTACAAAAAAAATTAATTTTTATAAATAAAATATTAGGTATACATGTAAACACGGGCAAAAAAAATGTAATAAATATTTGACAAAATTCAAAACTCCGGCTAAAATTATGTCGGATTTGCTAAATTTTTGCCGGAGCCGGATTTGGGCCGGATTTGTAAAAATGGCCGAATTTCGGCCGGAGCAGGAGCCGGAGCCGAAATCCAGTACAGCCCTAATCTTAATATTGCTATTATAATTTATCTAATGTTTCTTAACTAATATTTGAATTCCAAAAAGCAAAAAGTTTTAACTTGCTTGATAGATCTTTCTCAAATGACCATGTGTGTTTTGAGAGCACTTTCCTTCAAGTTCAGTAAAGCCTAGTAAATAATTGAAACTACTTTAAAAGCTAAAGTAAAACGACGTTATAAAATTACAATTTAATTTTACGATATTAATGAGCCTGAATACAATTATTCCCCATCGCTTAAACAAATTGACAAGTATTTGAAGGTATATTTAAATGTTTATTTATGTTTATAAAATGTGTTTAGATGACATTATAAAATTATTATTCTTAAAATTTGTTTAGATAATGAAAATCTGCCAGATACTCTGATTCTCCCCAAAGGTTTGAAAACGATATTTTTCTGATTTAAGTTTTTACATTGTATTAGTAGTTTATAATGTTGCATAATAATATTTATATGAATTTGTAATGGCACTGTATGATAATTACAATTATATAATGAATTAATACTCACATTAAATGATAACATGATTGTAATATGTGTTTGTATATAGTTTTATTTTTATTATATTTAAGCATATGTAGTAAGTTATTTGCAATAAATGATTAAAGTTTTTTAAATTAAGTATTGTGTATTTCTTGTAGATTTTGTTATAGTGGTTAATGAAGAGATACTGAAAAAAGATAATCTAATTGCAACATTACCATTCCTTGAAAAATCATATTTAGTGTCGTTCAAAATAAAACCCACTTTTTATTCACCAGGATACAAAAACATTATTCATTTGACTACTGGAGGAGACGAGGGTGAATTTGGATTTAGAACTCCTAGTGTTTGTTTTGATGACACAGGAAAGCTAGCTGTTTGGTCTTCAATCAATTGGAATCCTAATATGGCATATATCACAGCTGCAGCACTACCTTTAAACCAATGGTCCAGCATTAGAGTATCTCAAAATCGAATTAACAGTATATACTTCTTGAGAGTTTATGTGGATGGGATGTTAAAGATTGACATCAAAAACTCAGATCCACGTTCATTTAAAAATGTAAAAGTGTATAATGCAGATCCCTGGTATGAAACACAACCTGGTAGTATTAAAGATCTGAAAATATTTAATGGAAATGTTGGTAAGATAAATATTAATTTTACCAAAGGATGCATTTAATTGTGTATATGCATTAGTTTATATTTAAAAGATAGTGCATATACAAAAGTTTTTTAACAATACTTTATAATTATGGAATAATATATATATATATATATATATATATATATATATATATATATATATATATATATATATATATATATATATATATATTATTATAATTATAAACTTTATAATTATATATAAATATTAACTTTATAATTATGGAATAATAATAATAATGGAATTGAAATAATATTCAAAATCTGAAAATTTTTTTATTTTGTTAATGTAAAAACCCCATAAATGTTTCAAATTTCAATTTATCTAGAGAGCTATATTTTAGCTAATTAATTTTGTTTTTGTTTTTTTGTTTTGAGATTATCAATTATAGTTTACGCATTATAAACACATTATTACGAATTATAAAATCAATTTTAGCACTTACTTGTTTTAACTTTTTAACTTTGAGTTTTGGAGGAACTTTTTAAACTTTTTACATAAAGTAAGTTTACAAACGAATTCCGAAGTTACAACAAGTAATTTGTGTATAGAGTAAATATAACACAGTAATAATCTCTTTTCAGTGGATATTTTTAGTAAGATATATATGTTAAAAAAACTGATTGGTCTTAAAAGGGAATTGGGTAATCATATGGCTAAAGTTATGCATTTTTAGCTATACTGATATTGTAAGAAGGCAGTTCTAACAGAATAAGTAAACAATCAGATCGATGCGTTGTGTAAGGGACAGGGAATTAAGAAAATTTTGCTAAAAATGCTTTAGCAGGCTAGTTTAAAATTATGTTATTCAAAAGTGTTTGAAATTAGTATATACTTTTGAAAGAGATCTTATAATAATATATTATATTTTAGTGTAGCTAGAGAGCTATATTTCAGCTAATTATTTATTTATTTTTTATATTTTGTCGTCATCAATTATAGTTTTTGCATTATAAGCAATTTTTTTTACTTTGAGTTTTGGAGGAATAAAACTAATCATTATTAATTTTAGAGCAACTAATAGAAGATAGAGAAACACCTTTGGTTCAAAACAAACTGGTGGCAGTTATCCCAATATTGGATAAAATTTATAAAATTTATTTTTATGTGAAACCAAACTCATATTCTGAAGGTTGGCACAATGTTATTTGTTTCAACATTAATTCTGATGCAAATGCATATGATGATAGAGTTCCCGGAGTTTGGTTTCATAACAGTGGTGATGGCAGTCTTTCAATCAGTGTTCCTCAAAATGGAAATCTAAACAGTTCCTTTAGAACAGCTCCTATTCCTTCTAACATATGGTCACACATTGAAATCAGTCAACAGTTAGAACATTTTGCGTATGTGTATACAATTAAATTAAATGGAGAATTAGTTTTTGAAGTAGAAAATATTCAGCCAGAGTCCTATGAAAATGTTTATGTTTATGCTTCAGATCGATCAAATCAAACTCAAGATGGTTTTATAAAAGATTTTGCCATAATAAATGGAAAAGCAGGTATTTCTAATGATTCTGAAAATATTACATTTTTTTATAAATGATTTTTATGTTTATTACTGTTATACATAAATTGCCATTCACTTGTAATATTGTTTGGTATCTAGCCAGAAATTGCTTTAAAAAAAAAGCTTATCTGTTTTACAACCCATTTTAAATGGGATCATCGCATCAGGCATATACAATATTTAGAATAGTGTTTTTAAATAAGTTTCTAATGCTATTTAAAAAAGAAATAATTTTGAATAAACATTCTAGTAGAATTTGGCAAATGGAATTGGTAAAGTTTTTCAAACTTAATATCAGTAAATTATGTAGGTTTAGATTTTTTAACTTGTCTGTAATAATTAGGCTAAAATAGTCTCTATGTTCATATACTCAATCAGCAATTTTTCTATCTGAACAGTGTTATGATGTAAACTCATTTAAATATTTTCATAACATAAGTAAGATTGAATATTTAGTTACTGCGCCATAAACATAGTTTTTTATTTGATCTTGGTCAAATCTTTTTCTTTGTACACAATAAAATAAATAATTTATCTTTATTTTAAGAACTATTTTTTATTTAACTTGAGAGTTTAATTCGTTAGGTATTATATGGTGACTTATTGAAATAAAAGCTCTGGATGATTTCAGGTTAATAGCCCTTTAAGCGATTCACATATTTTTATTTAATTGTAGTTTTTATTTATAGATCAAGATTTTGAGTGCAGCCAGTCAAATTTCCTATGGCATTATTTGAAATAAGAATGGCATTCTTAGCAATGTTGCTCCAGAAGCGTGCAAATTCCCATTCATGCTATTAGTTTGATGTTTTAAGCTTCTTTGCAAAATTCTCTTTTTGTTTTCTCAATATATAGTCCTCCACACGATAACATAAGCTTGTACACCCCAGGGTTCCTGTTTAGCATTAAACTAAGTTTTTGTTTTTTAACATATAAGTTATATAAAATCAAAGATTCTAAATCAAGATAATTGCAACCTAGTAATGACCAACCATTAAAAACTAATTTTTTTAATATAAAAACTTTATATATACATATATATATACATATATATATATATATATATATATATATATATATATATATATATATATATATATATATATATATATATATATATATACATATATATATGTATATATATATATATATATATTTATATATATATGTATATATATATATATATATATATATATATATATATATATATATATATATATATATATATATATGTATATATATATGTATATGTATATATATATATATATATATATATATATATATATATATATATATATATATATATATGCATGCATATATATTTACAAGTGCATATGAATAAGTATGTGCATATAAAAGAAAATAAACTTTCAAGCAAATTGCTATTTTTATGCAATGCTTTATGATAAGACCATAAGGAGTACTTTTTGGAGTACAACAAAATAAAAATTTTATATTTCTTTGCATTAGGCACCTGTGCAATTTAGTCGATGCAAATTAAATACTTATTTTTAAAGTAACAAAATTTAAATCGTGGATTATATTGTTTTAGATTTTCTTCAAATATCAACACCGAAAGGGATTTAAACTGCTTTTGTTAGATAAGTTAATTTATTTTAAAACGCTATGAAAGATATATAACTGTATTTGTGAATTTATTACTTACAAGCAGAAAGTAACCCGTATTATAAGTTATATCCGGTCTGACACTATATTTTATAGTGGATATAAGCAAGCTATTTTCCACAATTTATTTTAAATTTGCAAAAACTTAACTTATACCCTTTTAGAAAAACGTCTTTAGTTTGAATGTATCAATTCATCTGTAAAATTAACATTAAAACCATGAAGAGGTAAAATAATTTACCAATTCATATCTAGCATTGTTTGAATAATTTACAACTTACTTGAGTTATATCAGTGTGAGGCAGAACCATTTTCCTTGACATTCCAAAAGTTCGACACAGTACAGTTTTAGTTACTGACACAAAATAATAACACATGCTTTAAATTTACGAAAATATCAACTAGCTTCTTGTAATATTTTTTACAATAACATAAACTTTAATTAATTATTAAGATTAATATGAAGTTAACTTATATTATACAGAAGTTATTAATTTTTTTGTATCTTCTTGATTTTTTTTTTTAAAAAAAGAAAATTTTATCTTAAAAACGTTAAATGCACACAACTAAATAAATTTATTAAAAAAATTTTTTATAAATAACTAAGCAATTCAGTACAAACACATTTTAAACAAAAAAATAAATAAATTTACAATTAAACATGTTTATAACAACTTAAAAAATGTAAACTTTGATCTTTTGTATTGCATTAATGCATCTTATGATAAACCTAAAATAAAAATTGTAACAGATAAGTAGATATAAAAAAAAAAAAAAAATTACCCAGAAAACAATTTATCTGCTTTGGTAACCTGTTTTGATACATCAGTTGCTGTCGTGGTGCAGCAGTTCTTGTTGGTGTCGGTCAATGATGTTATTTCATGTTGGTTTTTAGAAAACTTTAGTTTAATTTAAAAGACATCGCAAATGATTTAAAATATTTAATTTAAAGACCAAAATATAAAATGCTTCAAAGAGCCAAACTACTTAGGTTGTTAGGGAAGTTCGTAGAACTCTCCTATACAAAAAAATAAATAAAAGAATTAAGTTTTTTTTTAATTTTATTTTAATAAATGTTCAAAGTATTGTCCATCATTACCTATACAAAGTTGCATCCTTTCGAGTCATTTGTAAAACGTTTATTTATACTTTTCTTTGGGTATACTTTCAAGTAGCTTTGTTATGCGAGTTTTTTGGTTTTCGACGTCAGTATTATCATCAAATTTTTTTATCAAGTCGAATAGCCAATAATTAGATGGAGCTAAATTTGGTGAGTATGATGGATGGTGTGTTATTGTAATTCCACCTTGGTTTAGACAATTTGTGGCAGTCTGAGTTACAGTGGGTCAAGCAATACCATGGAGAAATTTGAAATTGTGAGTGCCTGTTTGAAGCTTATTTATTTCCCATATAAGAAGGTTTCAATCAATTTTTTAAATAATATTTGCTAGTAATGGTGTCTCTCTTTTTAATATAACCCAAATGAACAACACTTTTTGTTTTAAAGATGTAGAACATGCTTTTCGGCTGAAACCTATCACATTTTACTACAGTTCTTGGACTTTCACATTCACCGACCAACTAGCGTTAGGTGACTTGTATCCAACTTGTCTCAAATAAAACCACAAATCATCCCCTGTAACAATATCATATAGCCTTCATGGGCTGTTTCTGAAAAAGGCTCAATTTTCCTTACATGCCTCAGCTCTATTCTTTCGACTTTGATTGGTTAACTCGTGGGGTATTCAACGTGATGTTAATTTTCTTCTTTTTAGTGCGTTGTGAATAATTTTGTTGATTGTAAAACGGTTAATCGATGTCAGGAATTCAATTATATCATGTATTGCATGCAGATTTTCTTCAATTAAGGCTCGCACACATTCAGTATTCTCAGCTGTATACGTTGTTTGAGGGTGCCCTGGGCGAGGATCATCTTCACGGCTCTCTCTACCATCTTTAAATGTAGAAAACTTGGTAGAAAACTTGGTAACTGTACTATATTTTAAAGCTTGATCACCATGAACTAAAACCAATTCATTGGTTATGGCTTGTGCTGAAACTCTAAGTAGAGCACAGGTTTTAATATATGCTCGATATCTAAGTTTTTCCATTTTTAAATTTTCTATTTTAAATGTTTATAATGAAATTTAAATGATTTTTTTAATAAACATTCAAAATATTTTAACAAGTACTTAAAATGATCATAATTAAACACAATTTAAGATAATATATAAATATAATATGTAAAGATATATATATATATATATATATATATATAGAAATTATTTCCTGCCTTATTATAAGTTTATAGATAAAGATCTACGAAATTCTCTAACAACCTAAGTATAATCATTAAAGTTTAAAAATCAAATTGAAATATAAATAAATTGGTTTTATATAGCTAAATATATTGTCTTGGCTTTTAGTAAATTTGAAAAGTAGTGAATTCAATAAATGAAACTACCAATTAATTATTTTTGACAAAACAATGTAGTATCATTACATAATGATGGTTAGATAATAAATAAATTTAATTATATTTTGAACTTTAGGTTCAATTGGTAAAAAAAATATTTAAAGTTTTAATTAAAAAGATTAAAGCAAATCAAATATACAACATAGTATATATTTAAAAAAAAAAAATTAATTTAAATAAAAATAATTCAACAGTTTTCTCCCTTAAAAACTCACCGCTAGCTCACGAAAAAGTTCTGACCTGACAATATTACTTTGTCTGGCGTGTACAATTTAAAAAAAATATTTGTTTTTTGTACTTGTTTAATTAGAATTTGATTAAGAAAAAAGATTTGTTGCAATTTAAAACATGCTCGAAATATTTTAGTGAGCACTTAAAAGAACACCAGCTGTAATATTGGGGAGCTTGTGGGTGAGTGCAAAACTACAAGAGTTTGAAAACGCTCATCAAACGGAAAAGACTGCAGTTGTGCTTTTACCAGACACTCAAGACAAAAAAATACTCCTCAAAATAATCAATAAATTAATATAAACATATAAATATATATATAAAAAAAAAGTTGTCTTACCCTTCCCCTTTATTTCATCCATAAAGTTGTCTAAAGTAAAAAAAAAATTAAAGCTAAAACCAAAACTATAAACTAAACTAAAGCTATTAACTAAAATAAAATTTGAATTCTAATATAAATTTTTTATTTATTTAACTATACTACTTATATAGTTTATACTTCGTTTTTGTTCCAACTCTCCTATAAGAAAAAAATAAAATAAAGCTATAGTATCTGACGTTTCAAAATTCCAGTTACAGTACAAATTAACAAATTCCTTTTAACAAGTATCTAATAGCAAAAACAATGGCTTAATTCATTCTTCACTTCTGTGTCAATAACAGAAGTCAATAACAAGAATAGCATTTATATGTATAAATCTTAAAATATCTATTAAAAGCATCTCACATTTAATTAACTAATTTAACTAATACTTTTATTAGCTCTTGATCAATTAAAAAAATTAAATCTTTTATTAAACTTACTTGATATAAATTAATAAAAATTTTATGTCTTACTAACAATTTTAAATTACTTCTTTTTATTATTTACAATGTAGTTTTAACTTTATTTTTAATTTTAGCTTATCATTATTTGCAAATTGAAGTAAAATATGAATATGTGGCAAACCACGCTTCTCAAATTTAATATTGTTAAAATGTGTTACAACTTTCCATAATAACCGCGCTTAAAAATGTCATTTAATAATAATAATAATAAGAGGTAGCTGTAACAACTGATGTTAACAGTTGTGGAGCGCAATAACAGTTGATATTGCACTGTATCAGCTTTGCACAATTCCTAAATCTCTAAACCAAATTATCTTAAAAACAATTTTGTAATAAAATGTTTTTGCAAATATTTGATTTATCTAGTTTGTTTTTGAACTGATTTATTGATTCTGCTTCTATTATGTCACTCGGTAGATTATTCCATATGTTGACTATACGATTAGAGAAAAAATTTGATCTGATAGTATTCTTGCAGAATAGTATTTTTAATTTGAATTTATGTTGCCTCAGATGGGGGCCTTCTTGTGGCGCGGTATAATTGTAGTTTGAAACCCATTTTACTTTATCAAACCCATGTTGAATTTTATACTGTTGGATTAGATCGCCACGTATTCGTCGTTCTTAATTTCATAATATCTAATCTTTTCTCATATGGTATTTTTTTTAATGCTGGCGCTAACTTTGTGGCTCTTCTTTATATTTTCTCAATTTTATTGATGTCTTGTCTTAAAAATTTAGAAGGTTATTTTTTGAGTTAATTTGAGTTGAATTCTTAAGTAACTAAGTCAGGTCTATCATTTGCTGTCTGAGCTGGATATAAATTATCATTTCAACCTAAAATCTTGCGCCATTTTGGGTCACAAGTGAAAGTAATAAAAAGATCTTGTTCACCATACTTTTTAGTTATAGCCATAGTATCTTCAAAGATTTCTTTTAAAGCTCTAGGACTGCCTACATAAGTTGATAACAAAACTACGACACGCTCTGGTCTAACATTATAATCATTTCCAAGGTTGTTTATATGTAAGGCATTATACAACTACAACTTTATTATGCGAAGGGAGATTATAGCGACATCTATCTTGCCCTTTAAGTAAAAACAATTTTACAACTGAAACTGAGTGATCTTCTATAGCTGCTTGACAAATTTCTTTATCCTCTACTTCATCTATGTTTTTAAAAGCAAATGAGTTCTGTTCACTTACATTAGTTGGCAAATGAAACATTAAATCGTGTAAGCAAAGATCATTGTCACGTTGCATTCTAAAATTTACTGCTTGAAGTGGGTCATAGATATACAGTTGACTATATGTTGGGGGAACATCTTGATCTCTCCTAAGATTACCTATACGATGAAAAGCTTGACCACATTCAAAAACATGGTGGCCCATGATTTAGAGGTTGAACCACATTAGCTTTAAAACAAGCAAAGGAACAACAGGCATTATGGTTTCTAATATATTTTAAAAAATTCATGTGGCAATTATGATATATATAGTCCCCTGTAATCTTATAAAGCTTGCGTAAATGGTGAAAGTGGAGGTAAAAATACCTTTCTATTATGTCGAAATAGAAAATGACTTTCATCAAGAAATCTGGAATAATATTACCTCATGCTATACAATACATTCTTCCTTGTCTTTCAATTCGGTGACGATTATTTTCCATTTCTTTCATTTTGGCGACAATTATTTTTATATCGCCTATTTCCATTTACACTAATGATTTCTGCAAAAAATTAAATCAATTTTAGTTGTACATCATCCATTTCGATTTCACTATAATGGTGAAACATATTGCCAGTAGTATTACTACTGTAGTCTCAAATGAATTTAAAGGCGAGTTTCCACTCATCCGTTTTTCTATGGGAACGGGATAGGAAAGGAAAAAATAATTACGTGAGCATGCGCAATAAAAGAAATTATTTGTCCAAAAGAAAACTGCGCATACTCACGTGATTTTTTTTCTGTTCCCTTTCCCTTTCCCGTAGAAAAACAGATGAGTGGAAACTCACCTTAATAGAAACTTAGGAATTGAATCTTTTCTTTAAAGTTACTTACTACTACTCTAAAGTGAACAAAAGTAAAAATTAACTTTTATAAATCACTGTTATTTAAAAAAAAATTAAAAAATGAAGAATGAATCAAGTAATTAACCAAAAATTTAAGTTAACTTAAATATACTGTTATAAAATTATAAAAAACATATTTCTAAAAACATGTCTGTAAAGAGATTAAAAAAAAAAATGATAATATTCATCTAAATGAAATTAAAAATAACAAAAGCTTACAGTTTTAAAAACAAAGAAGTAATGGTAATTTTAATGATAAAAGAAAAACACATTTTTGAATTTTCTTTTTGTCTACTAAACATGTCAATTAAACTATTTAAAGCAGCTATAAAATCAATGTAAAGCAATATATTTATAAAAAAAAATATTCAAATGCAAATACTTACAAAATATATAAACCTTTGAAATTTAACTTATTAGTTCAACAACTGGTTTACCCTCAAGGTCAAAAACTAATATATAAAAGATATACCAATTTTATTAAAACTTTCAAGTGAACAGTTTTTAAACTAAAAAATTTATTAAAATCCAAAAATATGACCAAAAAAATAATGGTATAAAATAAATAAAATATGAATAAAAATAAAAAAATTGATTTTGAAATGATCTTAAGATGTTTATCAAAAATATAAAACAATATAATAACATCAAATAATAGTTTAAATCAAATACTTAATGCATAAAAGACATAAAAACAAATAAAAATAACTGCAATTCTTATAACAAAGTTTAACCTTGACAAAAATAAAATGTCAGTGTTAGCTCAAAATTTTGATTTATTTTTCTAAATTTTCTGAAAAAGAACAAAAAAAGGTAGTAGTCTCACAGAGTCAATAAAATAATAATCAACATAATAAATTAATCAAGGTATGAAATGATAGAATTCAATGTTTATTTGAATTATATTAGTTTAGGACTTCTTAAAACTTTTTATTCCAAATAAATAAATTTAAAAGAAGTAATAAAAACTTTTATGATAAAGTATTAGTAACTCTTTATTTGCAAAAAAAAGGCATAAAAAATTATTAGGCCAAATCATACCCCTAGTTTCTCTCTAAAAAATAAGATATAAGCTCAATAAATATGAAACTGCTGAAAAAAAAACAATTAAAAAATGAAGCTAAAAGTAAAGCTTAAACAAACAAAATATATTCGATTTAAAAAATTAGAAGGGATGATTCTTTCTACTTTTTATCTAATAAAAATGTAATATATAATTTTCTAAACAGTTTTCTATACTTATCTCTTTTATTATATGATGATCTTAATATTGCTATTATAATTTATCTAATATTTCTTAACTAATATTTGAATTCCAAAAAGCAAAAAGTTTTAACTTGCTTGATAGATCTTTCTCAAATGACCATGTGTGTTTTGAGAGCACTTTTCTTCAAGTTCAGTAAAGCCTAGTAAATAATTGAAACTACTTTGAAAGCTAAAGTAAAACGACGTTATAAAATTACAATTTAATTTTACGATATTAATGAGCCTGAATACAATTATTTTCCATCTATTTAAATTCCAAATAGCAAAAAGTTTTAACTTGCTTGGAAGATCTTTCTTGAATAAACTTGTGCGTTTTGAGAGTGCTCTCCTTCAAGTTCAGTCAAGCCTAGTAACTAATTAAAACTACTTTAAAGTTGAAAGTGAAACAACACTATTAAACTACAGTAATAGTATTAGGATATTAACTAGCCTAAATACAAATAATTCCCATCGCTAATTACATATATTCCCCAACCAATTGAGAAATATTTAAAGGTATATTTGAATGTTCATTTATGCTTATAAAATGTGTTTAGATGACATTATAAAAATATTATTCTTAAAATTTGTTTAGACAATCAAATTCTGCCAGATTCTCTGATTTTCCCTAAAGGTTTGAAAGTGATATTTTTCTTTTATTTAGTTTTTAGTTTTTACTTTGTTATTTTTAGTTTTTACTTTTTAATTGTAGCATATAATTTTGCATAATGTCAATTTGTATATGACTTTGTAATGCACTGTATGATTATTACAATAGCGTAATGAATTAACATTACATTAAATTATAAAACAAATGTAGTTTATATTTGTATATATAGTTTTATTTAAGAATATGTAATAAATTGTTTAAAGTTATTTGCAATAAATGATTAACGTTTTTTATGTTACTTATTGTGCATTTCTCATAGACTTTGTTATAGTGGTTAATGAAGAGATACTAAAAAAAGATAATCTAATTGCAACATTACCATTCCTAGAAAAAGCATATTTAGTGTCGTTCAAAATAAAACCCACTTTTTATTCACCAGGATACAAAAACATAATTCATTTGACTACTGGAGGAGACGAGGGTGAATTTGGATTTAGAACTCCTAGTGTTTATTTTGATGACACAGGAAAGCTAGCTGTTTGGTCTTCAATCAATTGGAATCCTAATATGGCATATATCACAGCTGCAGCACTACCTTTAAACCAATGGTCCAGCATTAGAGTATCTCAAAATCGAATTAACAGTATATACTTTTTAAGAGTTTATGTGGATGGGATGTTAAAGATTGACATCAAAAACTCAGATCCACGTTCATTTAAAAATGTAAAAGTGTATAATGCAGATCCCTGGTATGAAGCACAACCTGGTAGCGTTAAAGATCTGAAAATATTTAATGGAAATGTTGGTAAGATAAATATTAATTTTACCAAAGGATGCATTTAATTGTGTATATGTATTAATATAAATTTATTTATTATTTTATAAGATAGTGCATATAAAAATTTTTTTTGACAACATTTTATAATTATTTGTTCATAATAATATATTATTATAGAAGTATATATATGTTTTTGCATATGTGAATATATATATATATATATATATATATATATATATGTATATATATATATATATGCATATATATATATATATATATATATATATATGCATATATATATATATATATATATATATATATATATATATATATATATATATATATATATATATATATATTTCTACGAATTTATATATATATATATATATATATTTATATATATGTGTATATCCATATAAATATATATATATATATATATCCATATAAATATATATATATATATATATATATATATATATATATATATATATATATATATATATATATATATATATTATATATATATATATATATATATATATATATATATATATATAACCACAGTCATCACCAAGTTTGCTAAACCTATCATTCACCAATATTCGTGGTCTTCGAAGTAACTTTTTTTCTGTTGAGTCTTATCTCTTGCAAAGTTCACCAGACTCTTTGTGAGACTAATTTGAGTTCAGCTGTCTCATCTTGTGATCTTAGTGTTGATGGTAATCTTCCTTTAATTCGTAAAGACTCCAATAGTCACATGCTTGGCCTAGGCATTTACATTCATAAGAATTCACCCATTTGTTGGGAAACTAGGTTTGAATCCACAGACTACTCTTTTATGTACTTTCCTTTAGCACCACTTAACTCTATCACCTTTCTCTTTGTTCTATATCGCTCTCCCTCATCTCAAGACTGCACTCTTCTTGATGTTATTTCTGATTATATTGACCAAGCCCTCATTCTTTATCCATCAGCCAATATTGTTGTTGTTGGTGACTTTAATGTTCATCACAATAAATGGCTTGGCTCTAGTATCAGTGACTCCGCAGGCATTAAGGCCCACAACTTTTGTCTTTCTTAATCCCTAACTCAAATAGTTAACTTTCTAACTCGCTTTCCAGACAAACTGAGTCATTTACTTTCTCTACTCGACTTATGTCTTGTTTCTGATCCTAGTCAGTGTTTAGTTTCTTCACACTCACCCTTAGGTGCTTCTGATCATGGTTTGGTCTCTCTAAAACTATTATCTCATTCTTCTTTACCATCAGAATCCCCCTATCATCGTACATCTTATAACTACCTTAAAGCTGACTGGAACTCTTTCCGTGATTTTCTTCGTGATGGCCCCTGAGTAGAAATCTTTCATCTCCCTGTTGATCTTCTTACATAACTTCATAAATGTGCTTCTTACATAACTTCATGGATTCAGGCTGGCCTGGAATCCTTTATTTCCTCTCGACAATTCCAGGTCAAGCCTCACTCTTCTCCATGGTTTTCCTCACATTGTGCTGCTGCAATTGCCAATCGAAACCATTACTTCCATATCTATCAGCAAAACCATTCTCCAGAAAACAGACGTCTGTTTATTACTGCTAGGAACCATTTTAAAAAGGTTTTGTCTAATGCCAAAGCCCGCTATTCTCAGATCATGAAATCTTGTATTTCATCACAAAAATTAGGCTCTCGTGACTTCTGGAAAATCTTTAATAGTATCAATAATAAGGGCAAGTCTGTAATTCCACCTCTTTTGTATGGTTCAGACTTTGTCACCTCACCTAAAGACAAATTGAATTGTTTGCCAAGAACTTTTCATCAACATCTTCTCTTGAGGCCACTAGTTGCGTTCTACCGGGTATAGCCGTCAAACAGGTTGATCCATTGCTCGACATTTGTATCACTCCAGCTTCTGTATCTAAAGTGATTTTCCGCTTAGACTCTTCTACGGCTTGCGGCCCGGACAACACACCTGTTACAGTCTTGCAGAAGTGTTCTCCTGAGCTGTCGTCTATCCTTTCAAAACTATTTAACAAGTGATTATCGGAGTCTTGTTTTCCAGCCTGCTGGAAAGCAGCATCTGTTATCCCTAATTTTAAAAATTCTGGAGAGCGATCCGATTCGTCTAACTACCGTCCCATTAGTCTTCTTCCCATCATAAGCAAGGTTTTTGAATCTTTAATTAACAATCATTTAATCTCTCATCTCGAATCCCATAACCTACTTTCTGATCATCAATATGAATTTTAATCTTCTCCTTTTACAGCTGATTTGCTATCAGTAATAACAAATAGATTTTATCGCACATTAGATAAAGGTGGAGAGGTTAAGGCCGTTGCTCTTGACATTTCTAAAGGGTTTGATAAAGTTTGGCATGCTGGTCTTCTCTATAAACTTTTTCTGACGGTGTATCTGGAATCATCTTTAAGATTATTGAATCCTTCCTTTCAAACCGTAGTATAAAAGTTGTCCTCGATGGACAGCACTTTTCTTCTTGTTCTGAAAACTTAAAGGTTCTTCAAGGTTCAATCCTTGGTCCTATACTCTTTTTAATTTACATTGACGATCTTCCAGATATTCTCACATCTAAGGTGGCATTGTTCGCTGATGATACTACCATTTATTCTTGTCACGATAGGAAGCCAATTCCCTCTGATTGCTTGCAGGGGCCATCTGAGCTTGAAAAGGATCTCACTTCTGCTACAGCATGGGGCTCACAGTGGCTGGTGAACTTTAATTCAGATAAAACTCAATTTTTTTCAGCCAATCGTTATCGCAATAGTTTAGACCTTCCTATATTTCTAAACGGTAATGTACTCGATGAGTCTCCTACCCTTCATCTTCTAAGATTAACTCTTACTTCTGATCTTTCTTGGAAACCTTCTATCAAATCCGTTGCAAAATTAGCATCTGCTAAAGTTGCTTCTCTTTATCGAGCTCATCACTTTCTTACTCTGGATTCTATTCTCCATCTCTATAAATCTCAAATCCGGCCTTGTATGGAATACTGTTGCCATATCTGGGGCAGATCTTCTAATGATGCCCTTTCTCTTTTAGACAAGGTGCAAAAACGCATTGTAAACATAGTTGGACCTGCTTTTGTCACATCGTCGTAATGTTGCTTTTCTTTCTCTTTTCTACAAATACTATTATAGGCACTGCTCGAAAGAGCTAGCGTCTCTCGTGCCATCTACTAAAATTCATTCTCATGTTACTCGTCATTCAATTAAGTCTCATCCTTTTTCTGTTACTCAAAAAACTTTTATTCGCCTGTGCTCAAAAAACTTTTATTGGTTTTTTTCCTCGAACATCAGTTCTTTGGAATTCGCTTCCTCTATCTTGCTTTCCTGATTCATATAATTTGCAATCTTTTAAGTCGTCTGCCAATCGTTATCTTGCTCTACAATCTTCATTTTTTCTCTTCCAGTAACTTCCAACACTAATTAGTGGTTGCTTGCAGTCTTGTTGGAAGCAAAGATAATTATATATATATATATATATATATATATATATATATATATATATATATATATATATATATATATATATATATATATATATATATATATATATATATTATGTATAAAACATTTACTTTATTTAAAGAAAATGTTAAGCAAGTAGAAAACTTATGTAAGGTATTTTATGGTTAAAATAAACCCTTTATTATAATTTTTCTACTATCTGGTTCTTTCTAATTGTGGAATGTAATACCGAAGTTACAGCAAGTAATTTGTGTGGTTAGAGTAAATATAACATAATAATAATATCTTTTCAGTAGATATAATTATTAAGATATATGTGTTGAAAAAACTGATTGGTCTCAAACGTCATTTGAACATCATATGGCAAATATTACGGAGATTTAGGTATGCTGCTTTTGTAAGAATGTATTTCTATTACATTTGGAAAGAGAACAATCAAATCAATGTGTTGTGTAATGGACAGGGAATTAAGGAAATTTTAAGAGTAATGCTTTAGCAGGGTATTTCAAAATCATGTTTTCATAAGTGTTTGAAGGAAGTATCTACATTTGAAAAAGATCTTATAAAAATATAATGAAAAAATAAAAAAATAAAAAAAGATTGTTTGATGATGTTATTCATTATTATATACATTGGTATATAATGTATTGTTATTAGAGTATTTATTGAGAGATTATTGGTATATAATGTATTGTTAATCCTAAACAATTTTTATTCTCCTGATTTTAAAACCCCTTATTTTAAACATTGACATGTTTCAAATTCCAGTTTATCTATAGAGCTGTATTTTAGCTAATTATTTTTTATTTTGTTTTGTTTTGACATCATCAATTATACTTTATGCATTATAAACAATAAACATTTTTAGCACATATTTGTTTTAATTTTTTTAATTTCTGTTTTGGAGGTATAAAACTAATTATTTTTAAATTTTAGAACAACTTATAGAAGATAGAGAAACACGTTTGGTTCAAAACAAACTGGTGGCAGTTGTTCCAATATTGGATAAAATTTATAAAATTTATTTTTATGTGAAACCAAACTCGTATTCTAAAGGTTGGCACAACGTTATTCGTTTCAACATTGGTTCTGATGCAAATGCATATAATGATAGAGTTCCAGGAGTGTGGTTTCATAACAGTGGTGATGGCAGCCTTTCTATCACTGTGCCTCAAAATGGAAATCTTAACAGTTCCTTTAAAACAGCTCCTATTCCTTCTAACATGTGGTCACATATTGAAATCAGTCAACAGTTAAAACATTTTGTGTATGTGTATACAATAAAATTGAATGGAGAAACAGTTTTTGAAGTAGAAAATGTTCAGCCAAAGTCCTATGAAAATGTTCATGTTTATGCTTCAGATCAATCATATCAAACTCAAGATGGTTTTATAAAAGATTTTGCTATAATTAACGGAAGAACAGGTTGTTTTTTTTATTCTGAAAATATAACATTCTTTAATAAGTAATTTAAATATTTATTACTGTTTTTCTTAACTTGTAATTTACCTGTTATGCTTGGTGGCATCTAGCCAGAATTTTTTTTAAAGAAAAGGTTTCTATTTTTTAGAACCCCTTTTTTATGAGACCTTCACATACAAGTAAATACAATATTTAAAATAGTGTTTTTTTAAAAAGTTTCTAATGCTATTTTAAAAAAATGATTTTGAATAAACGTACTTTGTAGAGTTTTGAGATGAAATTAGCATAGTTTTTCAAACTTAAATTCAGTAAACTATTTAGGTTTAGATTTTTTAATTTGTTTGTAATAATTAGGCTAAAATAGTCTCTATGTATATATATTTAATCAGCAATCTTTTTTTCTGAACAGAGTCTTTATTTAAACTTATTGAATTACATTAATAACATAAGTAAGATTGAATATTCTGTTTTTGCACTATAAACATTGTTTTTTTTCTGATTTTTATCAAAATTGTTACATTATACACAGTAAAATAAATAATTTAACTTCATTTTCAGATCTATTTTTTGTTCAGCTTGAGAGTTCAATTTATTGGGTATTATGTGGTGACATTAAGTATTATGTATTAACACTTTCAAGTATTTTTTTATTGACTACATATTTAAATTGTTCCGTAATCAGAGTAACTTTGAACTTCTATTAATTTTTGATTTTTTTTTTTTTATAAATTTTGATTTTGTTTTTATAAATTTTGATTTTGTTTTTATAAATAAATTTTTAAATCTGAAAAGAGTTTGTTTGTTTTTTAATGCTGTAAAGAGTTTTTTTTTTTTTTTAAAAGCTTGAACACTTTTTTTTTTTAATGCTTTTTTGAATTTTTTTGAATAAATTGGTAAATCTGGTTCTTTTTAATTTATTGAATTTTGAATATATGAAAGTATGAGCATAAGCTTATATATATTGTTTTCTTATAATTTGTATACCATCTAAAAAAAACAGTTTTTTATTGTGTTCGTAAAATTTCATCAGTAAACAGGTTAAGAAACATAGTTGATTGCAATAATTAAACAAGGGGGGTAAGTATTTAACAAATATTGGTTTGTTTACTTTTAGTTTGCTAGACTTCTGAGCCAAACACTTTAGGCATTAAAAAATTTAAATTGAAATCAATTTTTGAAAAGTTTGACATAAATATTACTTTACATCTTTGATGAATGGTGCACTCAAAACTATTTTATTTGGTGTTTTGTTGGTTTAATCAGTATGGTTGTTTTTATAACATTATGGAATTAACAAAGTTGTCTTGTGTATTGCTCAATTATATAATTAAAATAATTTTAGGTTTTTTTTGTGTTTCTCAATATATCAGTTCAATGTTACTCACAATTCTCTATGATAAGACCATAAGATCTTTTTTGAGCACAATAACTAACAAGATAAAAATTTTATATTGTCTTTGTATTAGGCAGCTGTGCAATTTGCTCAATGCATATAAAGTACTTATTTTTAAATAACAAAATTAAGTCATGGAATTTATATTGTTAGGGATTTAAAAGTCCTTTTGTTTAATAAGTTAATATATTTTGAAAAACTATAAAATATTCAAAACTGTATTTATGAATTTATAATTTATATTAATACAAAGCCTTAATACAAATGTTCCCCATTGCCTAGTCCTATTGACAAGTATTTAAAAACTATTTAAGAATATTCTTTAATGTTTATTAGTTGTGTTTCAATGAAATTATAAAAATATTATTCTGATTTTTGTTTAGATAATGAAATTCTGCCAGATATTCTTATTCTCCCAAAAGGTTTGAAAACAATATTTTTTTGATTGATGTTTTTACTTTGCAATGGTAGTATATAATGTTGCATAATGATATGTATATGACTTTGTAATGAATGTAGTGTATATTTGTATATATAGTTTTATTTTTATTACATTTAAGAATATGTATTAAATTTTTGAAGTTATTTGCAATAAATGATTAACGTTTTTTAAGTTGAGTATTGTGCATTTCTTGTAGATTTTGTTACAGTGGTTAATGAAGAAATATTGAAACAAGATAATCTTATTGCAACATTACCACTCCTCGAAAAAGCATATTTAGTGTCGTTCAAAATAAAACCCACTTTTTATTCACCAGGATACAAAAACATAATTCATTTGACTACTGGAGGAGACGAGGGTGAATTTGGATTTAGAACTCCTAGCATTTATTTTGATGACACAGGAAAGCTAGCTGTTTGGTCTTCAATCAATTGGAATCCTAATATGGGATATATCACAGCTGCAGCACTACCTTTAAACCAATGGTCCAGCATTAGAATAACTCAGGAACAAATTAACAGTATATACTTCTTGAGAGTTTATGTGGATGGGATGTTAAAGATTGACATCAAAAACTCAGATCCACGTTCATTTAAAAATGTAAAAGTGTATAATGCAGATCCCTGGTATGAAGCACAACCTGGTAGTATTAAAGATCTGAAAATATTTAGTGGGAATATTGGTAAGATAAATATTACCATCACCAAAAGGTGTATTTGATTGTGTATATGCATTAGTTTATATTTAAAAGATAGTGCATATACAAAAGTTTTTTTACAATATTTTATAATTATTTATGAACAATTGTATAATATTTTAGAATTATAGTTTAATACAAGCATATGATTTTACTTTTCTATGCATGTGTGTGTGTGTGTATGTATATATATATATATATATATATATATATATATATTATATATATATATATATATATATATATATATATATATATATATATATATATATATATATATATATATATATATTTATATATATTTATATATGTGTATATGTGTATATATATACGTATATATATATATATATATATATATATATATATATATATATATATATATATATATATATATATATATATATATATATATATATATATATATATATATATTTATGCATTTATGTATACACAAAAATATATTTACATGATTTTTTAACAATTTTTTGAAAAGTTTTATGGACTTATATTTTTTTATACTATTATTATATATATATACTATTGCATATTGTAAAAGAACAAAACAATATTTATTTAAAATATATTCAATTGAAATTTGTAATAAAAGTATAAATGAAATATATATATATTTCATTTATACTTTTATATATATATATATAATAATTTAAATACATATTTATATAAGCTATAAATACTGTTATACATATTAATGCTGAATATCTCCAAAAGCTGACATTTTTGAGGTGAATAATTATTATCAGACGCTTCTAAAGCAATTAGAACAATTATCAAAAAAATTGATTGAACAAACGTTGATGATCATTGCCCTCACACAGTAAATCCAACAACTAGAGGAAATGTCTGCACTACAACGGAAGCACATAACAACCACAACGTTCTTTAACTGGAACCTTTTGGTTGGAAAAGAATTTACTAAAACGCCATCTCAACTAGATATGCTTTATTATGTAGCTAATGATAACAAAGATTGAATGAACCGTGAGAAAAACCTTATAGCAATTAAAATAAAGTTATTTAAAACCATAAATGATAATTTAAATCTAAAAGACATTTCTTTAGAGCATGAATCATTTTTAACTACCAATCTTCTATAACAGTCAACTGTCCATAAAATACCATGCTGTAATACCAATGCTACATTCCTTAACAATTAAATGCCAGAGTTTCTAGCACCAATTGAGACATACAAGCTAAAAATAATCTTGGTCACAGAAACTTGGTGGCAAGAATCATCAATAAATAACATTAAAAACTATATGTTGTTCAGAACAGATTGCATGTCCAGCAGAGGAGGTGGGGTTGCTATTTATGTCAACACTTCATTAAAACCTAAAGAAGTAAGAAATTGTTTTATTAGATTCCCCATATCAGATTTGATGCAAATTATTGTATGGTTCCAAAAATATCCTTCTGGGTTGCACATATAGGCCACACATGCTAGAACCACACAAGAGAAATGAAGCATCCATTACTAAAGCTAATAAAACTCTTTCTAATATATACAGCGGCTTGTTGATTTATGGAGATGTAAATTTGCAAGGGGTTCACTGGGATTTTAACAGTGTCCCAAGTTATTTATGATACAATATGTTATTAAGCCCACTTTTCTATTTGATAAAGTCACAGCAAACAACACTCTTGATATAATTTTAGCTAAAAATGAAAATCGGATCCTCAATATTATTCACCATGCATGTTGTGGTGTCAAATAAAATAAAAACTAGAGGACATCATCAAAAATTGACAAGAGATTTTTTTCAAAATTGCGAGCAAAGGCATTAGTTTTTTACAAATCGAATTGTGGTTTATTGAAATGCAATGCTGTCAGACGTTGTACGCATTTCTTCTGTTAACAGTTTCAAGGCTCAGCTTGATGCAGAAGTTTCAAATAATCTGCATAAGTATCAAGATTATAACTGGACTACTTTATACTATATGCCTTATTTTAAAATTTATATATTTAAATGCATAAAATTAAAGTATGGAGTAGATAAGTGTTCATATAAACATGTGTATATATATATATATATATATATATATATATATATATATATATATATATATATATATATATATATATATAAACATATATATTTATTTATACACGCATAATATGCGTATATAATTCATATTATGAATAAACATGTGCATATATTTAATTATTTTTATATTTTTCTAATAGTAGGTGTCATAAAGTATAGGATTAACTTACTAATAATATATAATAATAATTAGATATATATAATAATAACAAAATATATATAATAATAACAAAATATATATATATATATATATATATATATATATATATATATATATATATATATATATCAGGCCTTGTGATGAATAAGAACTGCGCAACGCATAAGCACAACGTGATTTTTGATGTCATTAAATTCTTTTTATTTGCTTTTCATATTTATCGACATTAACTGCACCAATTTACTTAATTACCGCAAAACTACTTTAAATCATTAATGTAGAAATGTTATTATTTAAAAATGTTTTGAAATGTTTTGTTTTTTAAAATGTAAAAACATTGATTTGTTTTCTCGACGTTTGACGCGTTTTGTCTACTAAACGAATAAAAAACATAACTAAACATTTAAAAATGATTAAAAAATATGATAATATTTGATTTTCTCAAATCTGTAATTTAAAGTTTTTCAAATAATTATTTTTTCTTTTTAAAAAGTCAGCGATTAATAAACTGGAAATTTTACTATTGTACGATTAAAAACTGTGGAATAGCTAATATTCCACAGTTTTCAATTTTATTTCAATCAACATTACACTTAGGGAACTCAAATGTCTTCTTAAATTATTTACAGTATGTATTATTGTTATCAGTACATTTATCTTAAGGTTTTTCAGACTCAGATTTTTCAGACTTTTTGCATTAACTTTTAGTTAATGCAAAAAGTCTAAAATCAAACTATATTAAGCATGTAAATAATATTATTAGACTAAGTTAAACAAATTTACATTACATTTATTATACAATTTAAGGTGACTTAAATGATTTATTTTATTTATTTACTTAAATTTTTTAATTTAGATAAAAAGATAAATATTTGCATCTTATTAGCATTTTTTATCTATTTATTTTAGGATATGTACTTTTGTTGTCTCCTAAAAATAATAAATTAAAATTAATATGTCAACAAAAAGTTGCACATTTTTATGCAGAATACTGAAAATGGTTGCACATGATGAGTTGCGTATTGAGTATGATGCGAGTGTTATAATAGATGTACAATATGCAAAAAATTAGGGCATTCAGATGTACGCCTTGGTTAAATCCATTTTGTCATTATTTCTTCATCATTTCTTTTAGACTTAATTTTTTTTTTCTAGTTAATCATTAGTAACATTGTTAATCTTCCATCATCAGTTTAGCATTTTCATTGATCTTTTGTCATTTTAAACAAGATATTTCTATATCATTATGCAGTATTCATCTATTGGCATGTTCAATAGCTTCAGCAAACTCTTCATAAAATTTTTCGATTTCTTCATTAAGTTTTGCTACATTAATTTTTTTTTTAGTTTCAGAAACTTATATTGACTTGACAAATCAACCTCAATATTTTTGTATTGTTTCTTTTTTAATAGCCTACTCAATTGCTTTAATTCAATTTTACACCTGGATTTTAGAGAATACCTGGGTTCATGGTCTTAGAGAAGCAGAATAATTTTTTTTCTTTTTTTTCTTGCATAAGTGTTTAAAATAATTTTCATCTTGTTTATAGCTAACACTTACTATTGAACTATTGATAATTTCATTTGCTGACGTTCATATGATTAAATTTTTAATTTCTTTTTTTTATCAATCTCTGGTGGCAAAAGAATACTCTCTGTTATTAAATATTGATTCAATGGTAGTGAAAATAAACTACAGATTACATGTTATTACTTTATTTAAAAATCTTTTAAATAAAGTAATAACTTTAATTTAAGTCAACGTAAACATATTATATATAAAAAATGTACTCAATTGAAACAAAATGTTCAGCAAATAGGAAACTAATTTAAGATATTTATGGTTAAAATAAATTCTATATTACATATTGTCTACTATCTGGTTCTTTCTAATCGTGAAAAGTATTTCCGAAGTTACAACAAGTAATTTGTGTATAGAGTAAATATAACACAGTAATAATCTCTTTGTAGTGGATATTTTTAGTAAGATAATATATATTAAAAAAACTGATTGGTTATAAAAGGGCATTGGGTAATCATATGGCTAAAGTTATGCATTTTTAGCTATGCTTATATTGTAAAGAAAGCAGTTCTAACAGAATAGGAAAGTAAACAATCAGATTGATATGTTGTGTAAAGGACAGGGAATTAAGAAAATTTTGCTAGAAATGCTTTAGCAGGCTAGTTTAAAATTATGTTTTCATAAGTGTTTGAAATTAATATAGAGATCTTATAATAATATATTATATTTTAGTATAGCTAGAGAGCTATATTTTAGCTAATTATTTATTTATTTTTTATGTTTGTCGTCATCAATTATAGATTTTGCATTATAAGCAATTTTTTAACTTTGAGTTTTGGAGGAATAAAACTAATCATTATTAAATTTTAGAGCAACTAATAGAAGATAGAGAAACACCTTTGGTTCAAAACAAACTGGTGGCAGTTATTCCAATATTGGATAAAATTTATAAAACTTATTTTTATGTGAAATCAAGCTCGTATTTTGAAGGTTGGCACAATGTTATTCTTTTCAATATTAATTCTGATGCAAATGCATATGATGATAGAGTTCCAGGAGTGTGGTTTCATAACAGTGGTGATGGCAGTCTTGCAATCACTGTTCCTCAAAATGGAAATCTAAACAGTTCCTTTAGAACAGCTCCTATTCCTTCTAACATATGGTCACACATTGAAATCAGTCAACAGTTAGAACATTTTGTGTATGTGTATACAATTAGATTGAATGGAGAAATAGTTTTTATAGTAGAAAATGTTCAGCCAGAGTCTTATGAAAATGTTCATGTTTATGCTTCAGCTCAATCATATCAAACTCAAGATGGTTCTATTAAAGATTTTGCAATAATAAATGGAAAAGCAGGTATTTCTAATGATTCTAAAATTATTACATTTTTTGATAAATAATTTCAACATTTATTACTGTTATACTTATATTGTAATTTACCTGTTATGTTTGTTGGCATTTAGCTAGAAATTGGTTTTTTAAAAAAAAGCTTTTACGAACCTTTTTATAATGAGATCATCACATCAGGCATATACAAAATTCATAATTGTGTTTTTTAATAATGTTTCTGACGCTTTTTAAAAAGTAATAATTTTGAATTGGCAAAGTTTTCCAAACTTAAGATAAGTAGATTATGTAGGTTTGGATTTTTCAACTTGTGTTTAATGATTAGACTAAAATAATTTCTTTATTCATATAATCAATAAGCCATATTTCTCTTTGAACAGAATCTTGCTTTAAACTTAATGAATTTTATTAATTACTTAAGTAAAATTGAATATTTTGTTAGTGCGCCATAAACATTTTTTATTTGATGTTTATTAAATTTGTTTGCTTGTCAACAGTAAAATGAATAATTAACCTTTATTTTGAGATCTATTTTTCATTTACCTTGAGAATTTATTTATTGGTTGTTTTGTGGTGACTTAATGTAATAAATGGATGATTTCATGTTAATAGCCCTTCAAGTATTTTTTTGTGAACTGCTTTTTGAAGCCCTTACATAGTTAGTTAACTTCAAACATCTAATAGTTTTTGTTTTTGTTTTACTTTGACAAATTTCAAATTAGAAAAGAGTTTTTTTTTTTTTAAATACTTCAATAGGTGAACGTGTTTCTTTCAAATTTTTTTAAATTTTAAATATATGAAAGTACCAGCATAAGCTTATATATTTTTTCCTTATATTTAGTATACTATTTAAGAAACAGTTTTCTATTGTGTTAGTAAATTTTCAGAGGTAAAAAATTGGCAATAGAGTAAACAGGTTGAGAAACATAGTTGATTGCAATAATTAAACAAGGGGGGTAAGTAATTAATAATTATTGCTTTGTTTACTTTTAATTTGTCATGCCGCTGAGCACAATACTTTAAAGACATTAAAAAATATAAATGGAAATCATTTTTTAAAAAGTTTGATCATAAATGTTACTTTTACATCTTTTATGAGTTGCACTGCAACCTTTTTTATTCAAAGTTTTGTAAAATCAGTATGGCTGTTTTCATGAAATTATGTAAATGCCAAAATCTTTTTGTAAATTTCTTTGAATGTTTTTTTTTTTTTTTTGTGTGCATATTTTAACATATTAGTTCAATATTTGCTTCATCAGTTACTTAAACTTTTGTTATATTTTTGTCTCATCATTTACAGTTGGTCCAGCTAGAGTTAATAATTTTGTGAAACTAGTTTTGTCTAAAATACAAAAATAAATCTGTTTTTATTTAAAGTTTTATATTTAGTGTAAACCTTAAGTTCTGCTTACTCATAATATGCTTGTTTATGATAGGCTAACAATGATGCAATTAATGTCTGGCGATTGTCTTTGTCATTACCAAATGTTTTTATTCTATTTTCAGTTTTTGAAATAACTATAACAAAAGTTTAATATTCAGCAGTAGATAAATTAATGGTTATAATTAAACTTTAAATAATTATGTTAACCTGCTCTAGAATCTGAAGTTATTTTTTAATTACGTTTAAATTTCTTTAATAAAGATTAAATTTCTTAGTTTTAAAAAAATTTTAAACTAGTTTTAAATTTCTTCTAAAACTCATTTCATCTAAACTGAATACACAAAATCAACATTAATTATTTATTAGTTAGAATAATACCAAAACACTTTTGTTCATTTCAAATAATTATACAAGAAAAATCCGGGTAGATTTTGATAAAGACTTATTACAATGTTTCCACCCAAAAACGTTTTAGTGACTTTTCTTGTAGTACATAAAGTTATAATAATTTATAAAACATGAAAAACAGCATAGGACTTTTTTTTTTTTTTTTTTTTTTTTTTGTGATCATACTTATTTTTCTTTTTTGGCTGAATTTGTAACAACTGTCATTAAAATGAAAATACCAATTTAAAAACCATTGCAAAATAAAATACTAAAAATCATAAAGAAGTCATTTCAAAGACGACTTCAATAAAATTTGTTTTATTTCATTATCATTTTTTTTAAATGGTTGTCTCCAACTTCTTGATGCAACTTTTACCCCATTATGCCTGTTAAGCAGGACCAGGATTTACTTTTCCTCCTGAGATGTCTGCGCGTACTTAATTTCAAGCAATTACCATATTTTCCCTTAATGATAATTTTTATTTATCGATAAGGTTTTTTAGTACAGCCAGTCGAATATCTTATGACATTCTTTGCGATGCTCAGTTGATTCAGAGGCATGCTAATTGCCATTAATGCTATTAATTTGGTGTTCTATGCATCTTTTCAAAATTCTTCCCAATATAAATTCTCCAACACGAATATGTAAGCTTGTACACCCCAGGGTTGCTGTTTGGCATTAAACTAGATTTGTTGTTTTTTTAACATATGAGTTACCCTAGAACTAAAATTCCAAATCAGGATAATTGCAACCTAGTAATTATGAATCATTAACAACTTTTTTTTTTATATAAAAACTTTTATATTATAAGTCAGCAATGAAATTATTATTGCAAAAAATTACAAATGCATATGAATAAATATGTGCATATGACAAGGCATAAACTTTCTGGCTTTTTGCTATTTTGCAATGTTGTGTGATAAGACCTTTAGGACTTTTTGGAGCACCTAAACAACTAACAAAACAAAAATTTTATGTTGTCTTTGTATTAGGCAGCTGTGAAATTTGATCAATGCAAATTAAATACTTATTTTTAAAATAACAAAAATTAAATCATGGAGTTTATATTGTTTAGATTTTCTATAAATCAACACGCAAATAGATTTAAACTCCTTTTGTTTAATAAGTTCATATATTTTAAAACACTATGAAAGATATATAACTGTATAATGAATTTATAACTTATATTAATTAGCCTGATTACAAATATTCCCCATCTCTTAAATTAATTGACAAGTATTTAAAGCTATTGGATGTTTTTTAATGCTTTTAAGTTTTGTTTAGACAACATTTTATTACTAATATTGTTAAATTTTGTTTAGATAATGAAATTCTGCCAAATACTCTGATTCTTCCAAAAGGTTTGAAAATGAGTTTTTCTGATTTAACTATTAACTTTTGTAATGGTAGTATATGATGTTGCATAATATTTATATAACTTTGTAATGTTACTAAATAATATTTACCTTTACTGAATGGGTCTGTGGTTATATTTAAGTATATGTAATATATTTTTAAACTTATTTGTAATAAATTATTAAAGTTTATTAAATTAAGTATTTTGCATTTCTTGTAGATTTTGTTACAGTGGTTAATGAAGAAATATTGAAACAAGATAATCTTATTGCAACATTACCACTCCTCGAAAAAGCATATTTAGTGTCGTTCAAAATAAAACCCACTTTTTATTCACCAGGATACAAAAACATAATTCATTTGACTACTGGAGGAGACGAGGGTGAATTTGGATTTAGAACTCCTAGCATTTATTTTTATGAAACTGGAAAGCTAGTTGTTTGGTCTTCAATCAATTGGAATCCTAATATGGGATATATTACAGCTGCAGCACTACCTTTAAACCAATGGTCCAGCATTAGAGTATCTCAAAATCGAATTAACAGTATATACTTCTTGAGAGTTTATGCGGATGGGATGTTAAAGATTGACATCAAAAACTCAGATCCACGTTCATTTAAAAATGTAAAAGTGTATAATGCAGATCCCTGGTATGAAGCACAACCTGGTAGTATTAAAGATCTGAAAATATTTAATGGAAATGTTGGTAAGATAAATAATAACTCAAACAAAAGCTGCATTTTATTGTGTATATGCTGTAATTTATTTATTCTTGTCAGGATAAGAAGCCAACTCTCTCTGATTATTTGGAGGGAGCATTTGATTTTGAAAAGGATCTTACTTCTGCTACAGCATAGGGCTCACAGTGGCTGGTGAACATTAATTCAGATAAAACTCAATTTTTTTCAGCCAATCGTTATTCTTTTATTCATAAACCTTTCTATTTTTATAATGGTAATGTACTCGATGTGTCATCTACCCTTTATCTTCTAGGATTAACTCTTCTGATCTTTTTTGGAAACCATATATCAAATCTGTTGCAAAATTAGCATCTGCTAAAGTTGCATCTCTTTATTGAGCTCAACAATTTCTTACTCCTGATTCTATTCTCTATCTCTATAAATCTCAAATCCGGCCTTGTATGGAATACTGTTGCCATATCTGAAGCCGATCTTCTAATGATGTCCTTTCTCTTTTAGACAAGGTGCAAAACACATTATAAACATAGTTGGACCTGCTCTTGCAGCCAACATTCAACCATTATCACATCGTTGTAATGTTGCTTCTCTTTCTCTTTTCTACAAATACTATAATGGGCACTGCTCTAAAGAGCTAGGGTCTCTTGTGCCATCTACTAAAATTTACTCTTTTGTTACTCATCATTCAGTTAAGTCTCATCCTTTTTCTGTTACCGTTTCTAAGTGCTCCAAAAACTCTTATTCGTCTAGTTTTTTTTCCTCGAACATTAGTTTTTTGGAATTCGCTTCTTTTATCTTGCTTTACTGATTCATATAATTTACAATCTTTAAAGTCGTCTGTCAATCGTTATCTTGCTTTACAATCTTCATCTTTTCTCTTCCAGTAACTTCCGTGACTAATTAGTGGTTGCTTGCAGCCTTGTTGGATACAAAGGTGTTTAAAAAAAAAAAATTATTTTGTTGGTAAGATAAATAATAAGATTACCAAAAGCTGCTTTTTATTGTGTATATACAATAGATTATTTCTTTATATTAGTGCATAAACAAAAGTTCTTTAATCATAGTTTATAATTATTTATATGCAATTGTATAAAATTATACAAATATCGTTATATATGCATATATTTATGTGTATATATATATATATATATATATATATTTTAATATATATATATATATATATATATATTTATATATATATATATGTATGCATATGTATAGGCTATACATATATATGTATATATATATATATATATATATATATATATATATATATATATATATATATATATATATGTATATGTATATATGTATAAATATATATATATATATATATATATCTATATATATATATATATATCTATATATATATATATATATATATATATATATATATGTATGTATGTATGTATATGTATAGGCTATACATATATATGTATATATATATATATATATATATATATATATATATATATATATATATGTATATATATATATATATATATATATATATATATATATATATATATATATATATATATATATATATATATATATATATATATATATATATATATATATATATATATATATATATGTATATATGTATAAATATATATATATATATATATATATATATATATATATATATATATATATATATATATATATATATATATATATATATATATATGTATGTATGTATATGTATAGGCTATACATATATATGTATATAATATATATATATATATATATATATATATATATATATATACATATATGTATGTTTGTATGTATAGCCAATAGTTGTTTTTTAATCTGTGTGTTTTCTCGGCCTTCTACTATAGTGGGCCATGATTTGTTTCTAAAGTTCATTAAGTAATCATATGGCAAAGGTTATGCATTTTTAGCTATGCTGATATTGTGATAATGGATTTCTAATACAAGAGGAAAAAAAATGATTAGTTTGATGTGTTATGTTAGGGACAGGGAATTAAAAACATTTTGCAAGAAATGCCTTAACAGGCTAGTTTAAGGTCATATTTTCGTAAGTGTTTGAAGGTAGTATATTCTTTTGAAAAAGATCTTTTACTGCTATAATAATTAAAAAAAAAAAGAGATTATATGTTGATTTTATATATTCTTATTATACTCCATGGTCTTGGGTTAACATTTATATGAATTAACATTAATGGTGTTGGAATAATATTTAAAATCTTTTATAGTTTTTATTCTATTAAAATATAAGACCCATATGTTTCAAAACACAATTTAGCTAGAGAGCTTTATTTTAGCTATTTGTTTTTTATTATTTTTTTTTTAATACCTTGTCTTCATCAATAATAGTTTGTACATTATAAACAATAAACAATTTTAGCACATCAGTTTTTTTAATTTTTTAACTGCGAATTTTGGAGGGTTAAAACAAATCATTATTATATTTTAGAACAACTAATAGAAGATAGGGAAACTCCTTTGGTTCAAAACAAACTGGTGGCAATTGTTCCAATATTGGATAAAACTTATAAAATTTATTTTGATGTGAAAGCGAAATCATATTCTGAAGGTTGGCACAATGTTATTCGTTTCAACATTGGTTCTGATGAAAATATATATGATGATAGGGTTCCAGGAGTGTGGTTTCATTACAGAGGTGATGGCAGTCTTTCAATCACTTTTCCTCAAAATGGAAATCTTAATAGTTCCTTTAAAACAGCTCCTATTCCTTCTAACATGTGGTCACATGTTGAAATAAGTCAACAGTTAGAACGCTTTGCGTATATGTATACAATAAAATTGAATGGAGAAATAGTTTTTATAGTAGAAAATGTTCAGCCGGAGTCCTATGAAAATGTTTATGTTTATGCTTCAGATCAATCATACCAATCTCAAGATGGTTTTATAAAAGATTTTGCAATAATAAATGGAAAAGCAGGTATTTATAAAGAATCTAAAACTGAGATATTGTTTGATAAATGATTTTAATGTTTATTACTGTTATACTTAAATAGTATTTTACCTGTTATGTTTGTTGGAATCTATTCTAAATTTCTTATGTTAATTTTTGATTTTTTTTTCATCCTAAACAATATTTTAATCAGAAAAAAATTATTTTATTTTTATATGCTTCGATAGATGAACTTGATTTTTTTTAGATTTCTTGAATTTTTGAATATATGAAATTACTAGCATAAGATTGTTTTCTCGTTATTAGTATTCTATGTAAAAAATATTTTACTATTATATTTATAAAATTTCTGAGATAAAAAATTGGTGATACAGTAACCAGGTTGAGAAACCCAGTTTGTCGCATTAATCAAACAATAGCGTAAGTATTTGTAAGTAAGTTCTAATTTTTGTAGCTTGTGTTTGTTTGAATTTGGATCCAACTATATGACCTGAAATATTACACTTAAATTGTTTTAAAGTTTTTATAAGTTGAATTAAAGTTTTAGTAAGTTAAGTAAATAGTATTTCAGAGTAAATGATATATTTTCTATAACATTTATATATATATATATATATATATATATATATATATATATATATATATATATATATATATATATATATATATATATATATATATATATATACATATATATATATATATATATATATATGCATATATGCTCAGAATTAGGGTTGGCATTTGGTAATGCAGATATAACTGCTGACCTGAAAGTGTTTGAGGTCGGCAAAAAGTTGTTGACCTTGTTTCTATGTGTGACGGACCTTTGTATCAATTCTATAGATAAACCTTTGTATCAAATAATTTTTGCCGACCTGAAAAAGATTAAGGTCTGCAAATTATTGCCAAACTCATTTTTCCTAGTTCCGAGGATTGATATATATATATATATATATATATATATATATATATATATATATATATATATACATATTTTTTGTACAAGTTCAAATAACATTCAAATTACTTTAGTGTTTAGTTTTTTTTAGAAGTTCTCAGAATAACGTCAATCCATTTTCGATCTCCTCTTTGCATGTTTATTTAAGTTTTTTTTCTATTTAAAGCAATTTTTTGTTTTGGGGGTTCTTTTTATATATTTGCAAATGGCTTAGTTTATTTATGTCTTCTTCTTTGCTATTTTTATTTAGATATAAGCAATTAAATAGCTTATTTGTACTTTCCAATTTTTTAAAGTGTCTTTTGTAGTCCTAAATTGGATTCTGTGATGGCTTCATTTTGTTTGAAGCACTTTACATGGCAGCTGTTCTATACTACCTTCACTTTTAATATGTATTTCAAAAATAATTTTTATCTCATATCATTATATCTCATAAATTTAAAGATTAACAAAAAGTTTTTTAATTGTGACAAACCAATTACATAACACTGATATAGGTATTAGCAAGGGAGAATGTACTTAATTGATAGGTTAAAATCGAAGCAGTTTGTTTATTTTTTACAGTTTTCTACTTCTCTAAAAATACATAGTGGATATGAGCGTTTAGGAATTATTTTTTAATTATTTTTTCAAATTATTTTCTAATTAAAGGCATTAAAATGTACGCACTAGTTTGTTTGATTGGATTAAAATAATAATAAAATACAAAAAGTGAATCTTATTAGATTATTGTAAAGTTTTTATTTTTTTACTATTTACTACTTAATTTTTACAGGTGTCTGTAAATTGTCTTTAATTAAGACATTTGAAGTATTTAGGCAGTAAAGGACAAGCATTTCATTTATTACTATTAATAAAGTTTAAAGCTAAATTCCACTCATTTTTCTGTCTATCTACATGAATGGCAAAGTTAACGTTTTTTATTTAACAAATCATGGAGTAGAGTGAGAAAAAATCAAGCTTATTAAAAAGAGGCTCGCTAATTTTAGATATGACTTTAACACTTCTTCTAAAATGAAATAATTCAACAATTTTTAAAACTGTTTCCAATTCTCCATATTACTAGAGCATATTTCGAACATTGGTATGTCGTTGTTTTTTTTATGCAGCTTTTAATATGTAAAGAGCAATATTCTGTTTTTTCAGCCTTTTTATTTGGGATAGTTAATGTTATTGAATTTTATAGAAACAGTAAGATTTAGCTGATCTTGTATCATATATATCAGAATATGTAATCAATATCATATTCAGCATAGTTTATAAAAAATTATTACAAGGTTGCTTCAGAGTCATTAAACAGAGTTTTAAAGCTGTACTCTTGTTCCAAGATAACAAAAAGAGTTGCATTGCATCAACCAAGGAGCGGCAATCAAAAAACCAAAAAATGTCTACCTTTCATCATCTTAGTTAAAGAACAGATTTAGCTTAAAAGCAAAGTTTATATTAAAAGCTTTATGCTTGCTTATTAGATATAAAAAGTAGTGCTTTAATGGTCAGTCATGTCTTTTGCTTAGGAGGTTTTCATCAGTAAGTAGAAACAGATTGTAGTTAAAATATGTTCAAGATGAGTATTTTTGATGAGATATCTTGCTTTTCAAGATAAGTCTTTAGAAGTGGAGACCATTAGGACTTTTTGGAGCACCTAAATAACTAACAATAAAAAAATTAAATAGTCTTTAAATTAGACAAAATTAGTTAATGCACGTTGGATCCTTATTTTTAAATTAACAAAAAATAAAATATGGAATTATTATTACTTTAGATTTTCTCAAGTTATCAAAAAACAAAGAGATTTGAAATCCTTTTGTTTAATAAGTTTATATATTTTTAAACACTATGCAAAATATATGACTGTATTTATGAATTTATAACTTATATTAGTAAGCCTGAATACAAATATTCTCCATCGCTTAAATTAATTGACGCGTATTTAAAGCTATTTGATGTTCTATGATGCTATTAAGTTTTGTTTAGATGAGATTATATTACTGATATTGTTAAATTTTGTTTAGATAATGCGATTCTGCCAAATACTCTGATTCTCCCAAAAGGTTTGAAAATGAGCTTTTCTGATTTAATTTTTTACTTAGTTTTGGTAGTATATGATGTTGAGTAATGGTATGCATATGACTTTGTAATTGTACTATATGGTATTTACACATACTGAATGATCTAGTAGTTACATGAAATAATTACACAATTGAAATGTGTATCTTGTATATATAGTTTTATATTTGTTATATTTAAGCATATCGGGTGGACACAGAAAAATCCAGTCTTCTTTAAATTGAGATTTCTCCAAAACCACAAATGCTTTGTATTTAACTTTTTTGTTTAATTAAACCTTACTTCCTTATCTTAAATTCTGTTGATAAATTTTTGTTTACAAATTAATGATTTGCAAAATGTTTTGGAAACAAGTTGAGGTGCGTAAAAAAGTTGTGAATTTTTTTTGCAAAAGCCCATCAACTTCCTATCGCTTGATTGCTAAACGCACAAATGTCCCAAAATCTACAGTCATAGATATTATAAACAAGTTCAAGACTACTCAAAGCTGCGAAAGAAAACTTGGAAGTGGAAGAAAAAAAAATTTCCATAAATTTAAAAAGGTAAAGTTGATTTTACGTTCAATAACAAGAAATCCAAATCAGTCACAGTGAGATCTAGCTAGAAAATTTAAGACTTCTCATCCTTATATCAAAAAAGTACTTAAAAATGCTGGAATTAAAGCATTTCATAAAAAAAATACACCTAAGAGAAGCTTAAATTATGAAATTAAAGGAATTCGACACGCAAAGAAGTTGGTTAAAATAATGGCAGATAAAAATATGTGCATAACAGACGACGAAACGTATTGCAAGGTGAATTTTTCACAACTTCCTGGTCAACAGTTTTACTACGAAAACAAAGATAAACCTGTCGATGATCAATTTAAATATATTCGATGAGAAAAATTTGCATCCAAGTTCCTTGTGTGGCAAGCAATTTGTAGCTGTGGTATGCAGTCCTCTTGTTTTGTCACTAAAAAGACCTTGACTGCCAATCTCTACATCAAAGAATGCCTCCAAAAAAGACTTGCCTTTTATAAAAAAACACAAATACCGATGTCTCTTTTGGCCCGATCTTGCTGCCTCTCACTATTCTAAAAAAGTTTTACAGTGGTGCAAAGATAATAATGTGAAAATTGTTCCTAAAGATGCGAATCCTCCAAATCGTCCTGAAGAGCGCAAGATAAAAGATTTTTGGGCAATAGTTAAAGAAGTTCTTCGTAAGACAGGTGGACTAACAAATAATAAAAAAGACTTCTAAAAAAAGTGGATTAATGCCACCAATATGGTGAAAAAAGAAAAAATGTGCAAAATGATGGCATCAACTCGCTATAAAGTTCGATTTCATGCCAAGCAACCCATTAAGCCCCTTAAAATTAAGTTGAAACTCTAATTTATGTAAACACATTTAATAATAAAAAAATTGAAATAAAAAGCATTTATGGTTTTAAAGAAATCTCAATTTAAAGTTGACCGGATTTTTCCGTGTCCACCCGATATGTAGTAAATTTTTAAACTTAATAATAAATTTTAAAAACTTGATTAATAAATTATTAAGGCTTATTAAATTTAGTATTGTGCTCTTCTCATAGATTCTGTTATATTGGTTAATGAAGAGATATTGCAAAGAGATAATCTGATAGCAACATTACCATTCCTCGAAAAAGCATATTTAGTGTCGTTCAAAATAAAACCCACTTTTTATTCACCAGGATACAAAAACATTATTCATTTGACTACTGGAGGAGATGAGGGTGAATTTGGATTTAGAACTCCTAGCATTTATTTTGATGACACAGGAAAGCTAGCTATTTGGTCTTCAATAAATTGGAATCCTAGTATGGGATATATCACAGCTGCAGCACTACCTTTAAACCAATGGTCCAGCATTAGAATAACTCAGGAACAAATTAACAGTATATACTTCTTGAGAGTTTATGTGGATGGGATGTTAAAGATTGACATCAGAAACTCAGATCCACGTTCATTTAAAAATGTAAAAGTGTATAATGCAGATCCCTGGTATGAAACACAACCTGGTAGTATTAAAGATCTGAAAATATTTAGTGGGAATATTGGTATTTTCTTTGTTTTTAAAAATTTTTTTTGACTAGTTATATAAAATGATTTTATCACTGAATTTAGTAGCTTGTAACAAATAGTTGGTATTAAAATCCAAAGTTTTAAAAACAATTATTGTTGAAGTTTTTATATTTACAAAACAAAAACATGTAAAATTTTATTAAAATTTTTTCTTTTTCTTTTTTTCTTTTTTTGTTTTTATAATTTTTTTAAATAGTTCAATTTTTTTTTAATTTTTTTTTTTAATATTTAAAATAGAGCAAATTATTGAAGACAGTGAAACATCCTTATCTCAAGGAAATCTGGTTGCAGTTATTCCAAGATTAGAAAAGTCTTATAAAATTTTCTTTGATGTAAAACCAAATTCTTTTCAAAAAGGTTGGCGCAATGTTATTCATTTTACAGTTGGTTCTGATTCAAGCAAATATGGTGATAGAATTCCAGGAGTGTGGTTTCATGAAAGTGGTGATGGTAGTCTTTATATTGCTTCTCATATAAATGGTGACCTTGATAGTGGATTCACAACGATGCCTGTTCCACTCAATGAGTGGTCACACTTTGAAATCAGCCAACAGTTGGTAAGAGATAAATTTGTATACAAAATAAAATTGAATGGAGATTTCGTATTTGTAGAAGAAAATACACAGCCAAATACCTTTGATAATGTTCAAGTTTATGTGTCGGATCCATGGTGCACAGCTCAAAATGGCTCAATAAAAGATTTTAATATTGTTAATGGATTATTAGGTAAATTTTTATTTAATTTTTGGTTTTCTGTTCAAACATACAATATTCAAGATATTTTTATTATTGTTACTTTGCAAAACAGTAGTACTGTTTTTTCTCTGGTTTACTTTTGAAAATAGCCTAAAACCTAAAAAAATTTAAATACAATAAAAAATGTCAAAAACTGTCAAATTAGCCTAAAACCTAAAAAAATTTAAATACAATAAAAAATGGTGTCAAAAAATGGGTTTTGCTTCATAAACTTACATAAGATTATTTCTATTGCTAGGTTTTCATTTACAACTTATACAATTTTTAGTTAAATCTAGAATCTTAATCGGTCTACTCTAACACAGGCACAGTAGTATAGACCTGATACTTTTCATTTCATTTAGCACCAATTCAATATATTTTTTTATGTTTCAAAGCTATAATATAAATTAAAAAATAAATACTTATGCCATGCATAAATCAATTAGCAAATAATTAACATCACTTGGGAGTTCTGACTCTCGCTCATTGTCAACACCTCTCCTCAGTGCACTGATGCTTAGATTTGAGGACCAGAGCAGTAAGAGCCTGCTTAAGAGGTTTACATTTGTAGTCTTGCTTAAGATCCTTTTTTAAAGTAGCTTCACAGGACCTTAAGTTCATACTTCTAGACTTCTGTTCTTTATCTTGAAACATCTTAGTTAAAAAATTTTTGTTTTAATGGGCATCATCCAGTACATCGTGCATGCGCTAAAGTGTGTAATACCACCATTAACAATTGACAAACAGGAAGTGTTCAACTATTAAAGTTACTTTGATTAGTTTAGATACAATAGGTAAGCTTTCCAAGTTTTTTTTTCAAGCATAGTGCATTGTTATTGATTGCATAGTCCTGAAAAAGTTCAAGTGAAAAAATTGCGCAAAATAGAAAGAGCTGCAACAAAACTTTTGTAAATTTAACTGTGGGTTGAGTTCAAAAATGATAATTTCCATAATTATGTTAGTATATGTCAATAAAAATAATTAATAAGTCATAAATTACTTTTGGTTCTAGTGTATAATCTTATAATCTACTTTTTTATAAATACTTTTTTTGTGTAAGGCACATTTTTATCCTTTTTTTTTTTAATCATTTTTATCCTTGTGCAAATTCATTATTTAATGCACTAAATATCTTTAAAATAAAAATTAACTGTACTTAGAAGAGCACAACTAATGCCTATGTCTGCACATTTAGTTTGTTAACACTTTATTTTAGGCACAATTTACATCCCTTTTTATTTTGCATTTTTATCTTACAAGTCATGCTTTAAACACCAAATCCTTTACTGTAACTGGAGTTTACAGCATGCTTCTTAAACCTCTAATAAATTAAATTTTCAGACTTGGTTGATGAAGTTGGGAGCCAATGTTTTATAAATGGTATCAGTAATTAAGAAAAGGTTCTGGTACAAAAATTGCTGTGAAAACTATATTTTTAATACAATGCAGGAGCGTGCTGGCTCCAAAAAGCACATGCGCTATTTTTTCAAAAAGGCCGATATATGCAGGATTTCTCCAAATATGCTTGATTTGAAGACCCACATATGTATATATATTTAAATATATATATATATATATATATATATATATATATATATATATATATATATATATATATATATATATATATATATATATATATATATATATATATATATATATATATCAATAAAAAACTGAATTTATCCAGTTAATTCAACATAGTAAAGCAACGAGTTGCAATTGGATTTCCTTACAATTAAAAATGGCACCATGCTGTTGCAAGTACGTTTTATTGTGCTGTGGTAAGCACATTTTGTGTTTTCATTCCTAAAAATAAATAATTTTCACCAAGTTTTATAGCAACCAAATAGGATTTCTATTTTATTGTTTAAAAAACATTAACGTTAAATATTAAAAAGTATATATATATTATTATACTATATATATATATAATATATATATATATATATATGTATATATGTATATATATATATATATATATATATATATATATATATATATATATATATATATATATATATATATATATATATATATATATATATATATATATATATATATATTAGGGTGACCCTTAAAACAACTTTTTTGAGAAAAACCTGCTCCCACCCCCTGAATGTGTTCTATCTAATACAAAAACAATAGGTCTAAAATTTTTTTTGAATAAAAAATATTTTAAGGGTCCCTCAAGCCTAGTACTCAAATGCCTAGTACTCAAAATTAATATTTATTTTAAAAAAATTGTTGTTTTTGGTTTTATTACTTAAAAAACTATGTTTTTTAACAAAAAATAAAAAACCTTTTTTTTCAGTTTTTTTTGTGATAATATTGATAAATAAGTTAACATTTTTATAAAATTACAACTTTTGAAAAATTAAAATATAATTTCTGAAATTTTTATACAATTTCGCTTCATTTGAGTACCAGGTTGACATACTTTGGAAAAACCTTTTTTTTGAAAATATTAGGGACCCATTAAATATTCGAGGGTCTTGAGAGACCCCTTAAAATATTGTTTATTTAAAAAAATATTAAACCCAGTGTTTTTGTATTAGATAGAAAACATTGATTAAGGGGTGGGAGCAGGTTTTTTTATTATAATTAATATTATTAATTGACTTTAAAAAAAAAAAAAAACTTTGTTAATTTAAGAAAAAACAAATCCCTAATCGCACTGATAAACAGTTAAAGCAGTTGCAACTGAAGTGTGGAAGTGTGAAATGTCACGTTTTCTGAATTTGTTGCAAATTCAGAAACACTGACTTCGTCATTGACGATGAGTCTTATTTTACATTTAAACATACAAATAAAAATTCTAATGCTGGATTTTACTCAGATGAAGCAAAAAATGCACCAAAAAATGTAAAGTTTATTCGCAAAAGTAAATTAAAAAAAATATATTCTTGTGTGGATTACCATTACTCTCGTGGAACCTCAAAACCATTAATTGTTCCTGTGAGACTGGCAATTAATCAAACAGTGTACAAAAATGATTGCATTATCATACAATTGGATCCTATTATCAACAATCATCACAGTGATGTTAATTGTGTATTCTGGCCTGACTTGGCTTCTTCATATTATGCTAGAAGTGTGACCAATAACCTTGATGAGAAAAATATCCGTTTTGTAACAAAAGTTGATAATCCGGCATGTGTCCAAGAATTACAACCAATAGAAGATTTCTGGTCAATCCTTAAATGCTACATGTATGAAAATAATTGAGAAGCTCAAAATAAAGATCAGCTGCGAAAAAGAATCCATTCTTGTTAAAGAAAAATTGATAAAATCTTGTACAAGATATGTGCGAACATGTATACAAAAAAGTTGATGCAGTACGCCGTAATGGCAAGAAAGCATTATTTCAATCCCGAAAGTAAAAAACTAATATATTCCCTCACATTTTGTACTAATTTTTTATTCATGAAACCTTTTGTTGTGTTACTACTACTTGTGTTTATTTTGTGCCAAATTTTGGTCACCAGGGGTTATTACATAACTGATATAAGTGTTATAGCCACATTTAGTCCTTATGTAGATATAATAAATAATAAACTCCTTTTGTAGCGATAATAATCCTTATGTAGAGGTAAATATCCTTAATCACACACTTAATGCCATCTCACAACTTATGTGCGGCTATCATTTGTTGACACATGTGATCTACATTATCTTTTCTTTCTGGTCAGTCAAATGATGCTAGTTTTATTGTTTTCATGTTGTTGTTTTTTACATAGTTATATATATATATATATAGCTTTCAAAGTTGACAATTTTTGTTGAAGACTACCTGTCAACTTTTAAGCAAAATGTTTGTGTAATCTAACTATAAAAGCAACTCATAAATGTATTATTTATTTATATATATATTTTTTTATATTATCAAGTTTTTTTTGTTATATCATTAGTAATATCATTATTACTTTATCTGCATTAAAAATATTTTTATGTTGAGTCATTAGAATGCAAATTGCTGTGTAATCTAAATATAAAATCAACTCATTAATTATTTTGAAAAAAACTTGATTATATATTTAACACTATTACAGTTTTTGAAATTAAAACTTTTTTTATATGAAAATATTTTTTTTAAGTATCATTATTACTTTATCTGCATTTGAAACATTAGAAATATCTTTTTGTAGAGTCATTAGCATGCAAAAAATTTTTTTATTTAGATGATCAAACGTCAAGTGTTAAGCTAATTTTGAAAGGTTGGTTTGGATTCATGTTTAATTTTTTTAATTTTTTATTATAAATACAGAGTAAACTTAGGCATAAAGATATAAGATATGAATGTATAAAGTAACAAGGTGTATCATAAAATAAAAAAATGTCTTTTTATTAGTTTTGCATTTATTGATTGCTAAAAAAATATTGTTGCATTTAGGTAGAGAATTTTCTTCTCTATCTAAATATTTAAATATATTGGTGCAAGATTGACTTTAGGAGAATTTCGGCAAATGGAACCTTTAAATTGACTAACATAACTTAGTAAGAATTGTTTTTTTCAATTAAATGTACTTTTAAGTGTGAGATAACATGTGCCTTGGCTCATTTTAGTGTTAGATAGCATGTCCACATAGCACATGTTAGCAAATTAACATTAACATCAGGTTGATATATTTACTCTTTTGTTTTTAATTAGTAGTAATCATAGATGAATATTTTTGTTTTAACTTTGACACAAGTTATCTGCAAAATTTAATCCATCTTTTTATACAAATTTTGAAAACTCTAACAAACCATACAACAGTGTGTCAACTAGAATGGATTGTTTTCAAAAAACATGCTAAAAAAACTGGAGAATGTTTTATTTGTGCATCATTGATTTAATGATGCTCACTTGATATATATTTTTTAGTTTTTCCAGCATTTTTTTAAAATTATTTTTTCTAGTTTTTCCAGTTGTAATTCAACTGAATTTTTACATTTATTATCAATTTTATTGTTCAAGTAGACATTTTGTATAATAACATGAAAAATTACCATAATTTCAAAATTCTTGTGTGTTTCGAAATTCTTGTGTGTAGTTGATATTTTTAAAGTTGATTGATTAAACTACAAATTGCTTAAACATTTTAGGTACTCTTTTGGCCTACTCAAAAATCCTCAAAACATTCAGCCTTATCACTTTGTTTAAGTCTGCTTATCAACCTCATTCTATTTTATATCACTCTTTAACATCATTTAGTATTAAAATTCAGCATTTTATCTAACTGAAAAGTTGAACAACATCTCAAAAACAAATAAGATATTGCAACACTTCACAAAAACTCTTGAAGGTATTATAAAAGGTGTTTTATAAAGACAATTTGATGAAAAATAAAGTAATTGAAAAGAGTCAGTAAAAAAATAACTTCATTTAGTTAAGTAACTTCAATAACTTCATTTTGAAGTTTCTAGTTGCAAGTTTTTAAAATTTTAAAAATATGCAACTTTATTTTGAAGTTATAAGTATATTTATAAAATGAATTTTGAAAATTTAAAAAAATAATTTATTACTCAATGATTGTATTTTTATATAATGTAAAAGTATGAAGAAAAAAATTATAATAAAAGATTTTAAATCAAAATTTTTCTATTCCATGTTTTTTCTCTCTAATAAAAAAAAAACTACTTTATGTAACTACTTTATGTATGTGCTTTATATTTTCTCTCTAGTAAGAAATAATCATAGCCTACTTAAATTACATGGCCTGATTTTTCTATGTAGTAACATAATACATAACGTACTTAAATTACATGGCCTGATTTTTCTATGTAGTAACATAATACATGGCCTACTTAAATTACATGGCCTGGTTTGTTGCATTTTCCATAAAAAATTATAACATCAGTTTTTTTACTGTTTATGTATAAAAATTCTTCGTTATGATTCTTGTTAGCATTATAAATGTTTTATACTTGTTTTATTAAAATGGGTAAATAATAATTAGATTTTCTTTGAGTAGGTTGCATTATTTTGTGCTAGATTTTTTGCTAACTAATTTCCTGATTCAGTTTGTTCCAATAAAATAGAATACTAAAATAGGCTTTCAGATAGCTAAATATCACCATACTACTAAACATATCCTTTACATGTTGCTAGGATTACCTAAAACTCTCAATTGAATAAAATCGAAGGTAATTTGCTATAATTTGAATTAAAAGCAATGAAGAAATCTTTTCTTTTTTTTTTTCTACTTTTTACTGATATTCAGTCTGTATATTTAACTTCTTTTTTTATAAAAAAATATTTTAGCAATACGAAATCTATATTTGATTTCCTACTCTTGGTGATTCTCACTTGTAAAATCAACACTGCTGTAATAAGTCTTTAAAATTTGTTCTGCAAAACTTTTAATTCAAAAAAATAACTGCAATGTTTTACTAAAATAGGAGAAAAAGAGCAGATGACAAAAGTAATACTTCAAAATAATGGTTTGAATAAACACCGTGTACATCTTTTTAAATGGATAATTTATGGTTTTTTACTTCAAGCGTGTTAAAATGCTCCTCCTATGCTGGTCATTTTATAAATGATACTTAATTTAATAATTTTTTTTTGTTTTTGCTACTTTTATAAAAAAAAAAAAACATGAATTTAAAAGAAGTTTATATGACAGTTAATATTATAAACACAATTGTGGAGACCATGGAGTTGCTCTATATTTGTGAAATGTCAAAGCTGAACAATGAGTGAAATGAATAACTTTGAATTCTTTCTTGCACAACAAATTCAATTTCTTCTGATTGCAAAACACTATTTTTATTTGCACTTACTTTTATATATTTAAAAGTACTCAAAAATCTTTAAAGCTTTAAATTTATAAGAAACGTTTTTTGAAATTTAGAAATAAATTATGAACAATAACTGATACATTTTGGCATTAACTCTATTAATTTATATATCTATACCTTATATAATATGTTTAAACTATGTTTAAAAATCCAAGGACAAGGTTGCAAGTCCATGTTGTCTGATAATAGAGCTTTTTATATTATTGTTATTCAATTTACTTTCAACAAGGTTATGTAAATTCAAATTTTTTTAAATCTATACTTTTTTAAAGTATAAAATTGTTTACATTGTCAAAATTACATACATATACTTTGTAGTGATATCAAAAATGCAAGGTTAATTCCTGGTAATTCAAGGTTAACTCTAAGTATTTTAACAAACAAACACAATGTGAAATAAAAAAATTTTGAGGTCAGGAAGAAATGCATACGTAAGATAAATAAGAAAATCTTATTTAAAAATGTTAAATTGATTCAACAGTTATCTATTATTAACTAATATTTATGCTATATTCACACTTATATTTGGAATCATTACATTTATAGTTAGTATCCCAATTATAGCAAGTTTTTTGGAACAGCTTTGGGAGTTATGGCATCAGAGATGTTTAGAGATTTTTCCTATTTATTATTGTTCAGCTTTTTGGTCTTTAAAATATTTTTTTTTTCATGAGTAGTGGGTTTACAATAAGGTACATTGTTTGAGGTTTAATTTATTTGTTGGAAGCAACGTCATCTTTATTTATTTCACTGAATGGTATTTTAATATATATATATATATATATATATATATATATATATATATATATATATATATATATATATATATATATATATATATATATTTATATATATATATATATATATATTTATATATATATATATATATATATACATATATATATATATATATATATATATATATATATATATATATATATATATATATATATATATATATATATGTATATATATATATGTGTATATATACACACAAATGTAATACTAATAACTGTTAAAAAGTTCAATATGGTTCACTTGTTTCCCTATGTATTTTAAACTGTAGCAGCTTGGATAACCAAGCTGCTACAGTTTGCAACTCGGTGCATCAAGTTATGCAGCAAGTTCTCTGTCTTACTTTGTTTCTTCAAAGTTTGAAATTTTGTTAAATTTTCTAGGTTGCATTTTATTGAATTTATTTCATTAAATAAGTATCTAAATTGTAATTCAACTGAATTTTTACATTATTTATCAATTTTATTGTTTACAGCTAAAAATTTCTAAAGCAGATGTACATGTTTACTCAAAGTATTTTTTATGAGAAAGTCAGAACAATTGCAATGGAAAGTATGTGTACATGCAAAACATATCACTACAACTGACAACCTGCAGTATTGCACTTGTCTGATTTTCTTTTTGCAACATTTTTTTTTGCCAATTGTCAGAGTTGATTATTCACAAAATCTGTGTCAACACTTTTATTATACTTTCCTTTTAATTAGTTGTATTTAAAAGTTCTATTGAATGCCTCAACAAACATATTTGTATTTAAACCTTCTTTATGCTAGTACCATAGGATTCCAGTCTATTAATAAGATATGATAATTTATCTTAGAAAAGAATTTGATTTGTTTCCTCAAGAACTGTTCTAAGCATTTTGTAAACAACTGCTTCAATTTCTAAATTTTTAGTTTTTTTTTTGCAATTCTTATTTCCATGTTTTTTCTTCTTGCCATGTATAGAATAACCATTTTGGTTGAAAATTAAAGACTTCACAAAAAGTATTGTACAACTGCGGAGCTAAATCTGCCATTAACCAATTAGATTGTATAGTCCCAACCTTATTTTATACTTTTTAAAAAAAGACTTAAACAAATGATTCAGTTTCATGGTTAGCTCAACACCAAGCAATTGGATGACCTTGACCAAACTTGTCCATAATCAGTATAGAAATCAAAAGAAAATTATAACCAGTTGTTCCATGTGTTGAGTTGCAGAAAAAACCATTCTTCCTAAATTTTTCTAGCATATCTTTCTGTACCTCTGTCTGGATAACTATAATAAAATCTTTACCTTTAAACTCGTGCTGAAATGACGCTTGGCCTAAAATATAATTTTTTATAAAAACAATTTTATTAAGATATTTAAAAAAAAATTTGTCTGCTAAATTTTTTCCACAATGGTATGAAATGCTGAAATTTCAACCTTAAATAAAACATAATTTTTTTAATATATGGCAATAAATGTAACTTTTTTAAAGATTTACTGCCAAGAGCATTAAAAGTAATTTATTTACCTTTAAGTTTAAGAAATTTTTTTTTAAACTTAAAAGCATTAAAAAAAAATTATTTACCTTTAAGCTTAAATTTTTTTTTTTTTAAACTTGAATTTAAAAAAAAATTTCAAATTAAAGGTAAACTAAAGATTTAGC